CTTGGGGATATGGAGGAGACTCTTTTAAGGGAGCCAGAAGTGGGGTAAAGAAGGGCCGGTCCTTTAAGGGGTCTCCTTCATAGTACCTAGGAGAAGTTCAACGCAAGCGCAAGATTTGAAGCTCCAACAGCCAAAGACCTTCCACCCAAACCTAAGCCCTAAACCCCGGATCCTAAATTATAAACCCTATAAACCCATAACCCTAGAACCTAAACCCCACATAAACGCTCTAAACTCCATAAGCCCTGAACCCTGGACCTCAAACCTGTAACCCCGATAGTAGGTGCTGCGCCTAGGCGACAGACCAAGGGGTCTGCACGGAGGCTCTCCTGCATTTCTTCGCCGAAGATCACCTCAGAACGTCCCCGGGGTAGGGGGTTTGTTCGTTTAGGGGAGGCCAGGGCTTAGAGTTTCAGGTTTTGGGATGTGCACGCTCGGGTTTAGCTGCTCGGGCTTAAGATACCGGTCCGGCTCAGTGTGACTATAATCAAAATTCAAAAGGGGGTCGAAAAATCCGAAACCCCAAACGCTTAGAACCCCATACTCTGAAAACCCTAAACCCGTAAATACCACAAGCCCTAAAGACCCTAAGCCCTAAGCTAAAAGCCTTAAATCCATCTGAACCCATCTAAACCCTAAACCCAGAAAACCCCAAGCCCTAAAAACCCTACACTGTTACACCCCAACAGCCCCAAACCCCTAAAAACCCCCAAGGGCCCTAAACCGTCCGCGTCACCGGCAGCTCAAGCTCCACCACATTCCGAAGCGCCAGCATCCGTGCGACTGAGAAGGGCGCAGCGACCTCGCAGAACCATTAAAGACCCTTTATTAAACCCTCATAATCCCCATTATAATGGCCCTTATAGGGGCACTCAGGGTTTCGAGCTTTTGTTTCATGTGTGACCTCGTGGAGTGAGTTTAGAGCTCTTCTTGTTTGATCGGCGTGGGGGAAGGGAGGCATTAGGGCTACGGTTGTTTGTCTTTTCGGTGGTGGGGTTTAGGGTTTAGAGTTCGGGCTTAGGGTGTGGGCCGGGTTTGGGGCTTAGGATTTCGAGCCTTTTTTTGTGTTTGGGGTTTCAGGTCTAGGGTTTTGGGGTTTGGGCTTTGGAGCTCCGGCTTGAACTCACACGCTTTTACTAATGTTTCTAATCACTCCTGCATTTGTCTCGGCACGTGTTGGACCAATGAACACATGCATGAACGAGCTAGAGGTAGATACGTGCACGACTCAACTCTCAGAGATCTATTGAGCTTACCCCTTCAATGGGGCCATCTGTCCGAGACCTCGTAGGTCAGCTAGCTCGTTTTCTAGCATGGCAGTAAGCTGGTGAGTTCTGCATAAGCGACGGTGAGTAGCAAGATACTGCTAAACCAGACCGGAAAGTAGCCCCGTTCTAGAAGAACGGCGACCCTCCTCACTAGAAGAATGCCCACCATCCTCCCCCACTGAAAACCCGAAGCCCCACCCCTGACCCACCTAAACCCCAATCGAAACCCTCAACCTTATATACCCGCCTCAACCCCAAACCACCACCACCACCACCACCACCACCACCACCAACAGCACCACCCCCAGCACTCACGCCCCCTTCCCAGAACCCGAAACCCTAAACCCTACACCCTACGCCCTACACCCTAACCCTAAAGCCTAACCCTAAAGCCTAAAGCACTCACGCCCCCCTCCCTAAACCCTAAACCCTGCACCCTACACCCTAAACCCTAAACCCTACACCTAAACCCTAAAGCACTCACGCCCCCTTCTCTTTCCCAAGGACAAAAAGCGAATCTCCCGCCTTGACGCCGGCTTTCAGATCCCGGGGACGGGAGTTGCCGCTGCTCGGATACCTCACAGCGACGAGCTTCGGGTTTAGAGTTTAAGGCTCAGTTTTGGGTTTAGGACCGGTTTAGGATGTAGAGTTTAAGGTTTAGAGTTTAAGGTTTAGCTTTGGGTTTAGGGTTTAGGGCTTAGGAACTGGAGTTTGAAGTTTGGTTTGGGTTTACGGCGGTTGGTTGAACTTTGGTGCGGGTCCATGCGGACTGGGGTGTTGCTTCGGACTGGATTTGATGACTGTAGCTCTAAGCATCTAACCACGACACAGGCTGCAGCGGTTGGGCTTTCGGGGTTAGGGCTCTTGGTTGTTCAATGTTTGGGGAAGTCAATGAATGTCAGACCAAGCAACAGCAAGCTGAGGTCTAGAGAAGCAGTCTCAGGTCTTCCAAAAAGGCAAACAGGAGCAAGAGCAGCTTCCGTGAGGACTTAGAGGGGTTTAGGGTTTAAGGTGAGAAGCCCCAAACCGTCATAAGCCCTCAACCCCTGACGTCTCCTTCAGTGCGGTCAGGTTCGCAGCACGCCACCGCCCCAGATGTCATAGTTGCTCCGCATCATGACTTCTTGCTCTTCTGCCAAGATTTCCTCGCATGGACATAGCACAGACTTCCAAATTTCCAGAAAGCACCGAGACAGCCACAGCTCAAGCTAGGGGGGCGGTAAGGCCTGTCAATTTCCTTGAAACGGGGTACATGATACTGAAGTTATCTGCATACACATGCACACATAGACGTGTACTATTATAAGGGAACAGTATACTGGCAGCCTACACTGATGACCTAAGTAATTATTCAGGTGCAAAGACCTCTATACTATCCTTGCAGCCCTTGTAACCTGAGAGTTCTACTTCTTCCCACAGTGACAAGCACCGCTGTTCAGGATTACGGGGGACTCTGTTGTCCGCAGAACCTTAACCCTACAGTAAACCCCATAAAGTTGGAAACCGGATTAAGGCCAAATAGTGCTGGGATTCCTTATATACATTACTCTTAAGGATTGAGTATTGAGGCTATGGGGTTTCCAACTTTTGGGCTCTTACTGTGAACCCAAAGCCCAAAGCCCTACATGCTAAGACAGGGATCGTCGATGTCCCAGTAGTCTTTGGTCATCGGCATGTTGGCCACGCGCTGTAGCCGAGCTCTTTGGAGCTCGCAACCCAGGGATGTCGAACAAAACAGCCTAAAGAATTATGGGATGCCGTGATAAAATGCAAGACCTTTCTATGCTGGGCTATGCACTATTCCTGAAACGATGGAGGGATCCTCAAAGTGACATAAGATACACTACGTCACTAAGGGTAGCATGCTCCCTGTCCCCACCGAGCTTAAATAGTTGAGCCAACGGCAGCAGGAGCGGGCGTAGTGCACGGTACCGATTGCTACCCTCAGAACATGATACTGGCGTTTAGGAAACTGGGGTTAGGATTTAGGGTGTATGGCTTAGGGTGATGAGGATTGGACAGAGGCTGATGAGGATTGGCTCTTATGCTCGAAGATGATGATGCTGGCCAGATGATGAGAGTGTGATGGCTTTGCTCATGAAGACAGTCGGGATGATAAGGATACGAGCAGGCAGATATATAATGATGGCGAAACTCAGCATGAAGCTGGGGATAAAGATGAAGATGCAGATTAAGATGAGGCTGATGATGAAGTTGACGCTAACGGTGTGAAAACGATGAAGACGAGGATGACGAGGAGGGAGGATGGCCATAATGACAGTGATGATGATGATGATGATGATGATGATGGTGGTGATGAAGGTGTCGATGATGATGATGATGATGATGGCAGTGGTGATGGTGATGGTAATGGTGATGATGTCGTGATGATGATGACGATGTTGCTGATTATGAGGAGAGGAGGAGGATGACGATGATGATGGTGATGATGGGGATGAGAATGATGATTAGGATGAGAATATGATGACGATGATGATGATGATGATGACGATGATGACGATGATGACGATGGTGATGGTTGTGATGGTTGTGCTGGCTGCGATTCTGATATTTGCGGCGGTAATGCAATTGGTGATAGTTAAGGCGATAGCGATGGCAATGGAAATTGCACGGGCAATGCCAATGGCATTGTGATGGCAGCGGAACAAACTGATCACGGTAATGGCAATGGTGATGCCGGTTGTCATGGTGATGCTCGGTGACAAAGATGAAAGTAGAGATGACACCGGGAATTTCGAGGATTGCCATGATGAGGGGGTCCACGATTCTATGTGAGAATGGCGACATTTTCAGCAAGTCCTGTGTCAAAAGAAACAAGACCCTGCGATCGCCGCAACATGAAGACTAGCTTTATGAGGAACACTGCAACTGCAAATGGGCTCGGAACCCGGATTTCGGATTGCGCACTGCAGTCAGAATCAAACCAAATCTAAACCAGACAATAAGGCTACGAAATGCCACGAAGGCACAAAGCCGACTAGATAGACTTTGAACCGTAAGCCCTACCCAACTTAAGCCTAACACATCCAACGCTGAACTGCCAAGTGAGAGTGTATTACCCTAAACCCTAAACCCTTAACCCTTAACCCTTAACCCTAAACCCTAAACCCTTAACCCTAAACCCTAAACCCTTAACCCTAAACCCTAAACCCTTAACCCTAAACCCTAAACCCTTAACCCTAAACCCTAAACCCTTAACCCTAAACCCTAAACCCTTAACCCTAAACCCTAAACCCTAAACCGGCTTCGGGTCTGGCCTGACTTCGAAGCCCGGAACTACGGCCAAGGATTGAGACTTCAGGCTTTGGGTTCGTCTTCGAAGAATGTAGGAACCTGAGGGTTCGCTTAAAGGGGTCTATAAGGGTAACTATCAGGGATCTGTAAGGCTACTGTAATACTGTAGGAACCGGATTAAGAAACCTTGGGCCTTTAATTAGGGTCCCTGATGTGAAACTTACTATTTTGGCCTTATAGGCCCAGGGTGTCTTGATCAGGTTCCTGCATTGTTTGCCTTAGCACCGCAGACTGGTGCCGAGCATTCCCACGCACTTGCATGTGAGTCGCCTACAACACCTGGGAAGCATTCTCCTTGAACCCTAATCCCGAAAACCTTAAGCCCCAAATCCCAATCCATACACCCTCGCCCCTAAACCTAATCTCTAAACGCAAAGGCCCAAACCCTAAGCCCTAAACCCTGAGGGGGAGCGGCACCAGCTTCTTGCGCATGAAGATGCCCAGGTAGTAGTTCGCCACGTCAGGGTCAGCTAGGCCCGGATTTGGCTGGTCCTACACTTCCAACGGTTGAAACAAGGCTTTAGGGTTTCGGGGCTTAGGGTTTAGGGTTTAGGGGCAGGTCTAGGGCTTAGGGCCTAGGGTTCAAAGTTTAGGATATAAGTTTGGGGTTTAAGATTTCATGCTTGTTTTAAGGCTGGCTTAAGAATAAAGCGCTTGAGGCTGCTGGGCTTTAGGCTTTTATGGCTTTCCGAGAGCTCTGCATTGATGGTGGTGCCGAGGTGAACCATCGAGTTTGCTTGCAGCATCCTTCAGCGCTGCAGTCTCTATGGCCCTGTTGAGCTCGTCATCGCTGAGCTCTTCGATTGCGACCGCCACAAGCATGACGGCTTGCATAAACACAAGCGCCCGCATTCGATCTTCTGACTTGAGTGTGGTTTCCTGTGACGCACTGAAACTCACACCGCTCAAGGCTTGAAACACAACCATTGCAGTGCTGTGTTGCCCTTTGTCTTTGAAGCCAGAGACATCGAGTATTCTACTCATTGCCTTTGCCGCGTTTGTTGTAAACAATGAGCTTGCGGCGGGCTGGGTGCTTCAAGGTTTCGGGTTTCTGGTTCAGGGTTTAGGGTTTCTGGTTTAGCGAGATTTGCGAATTGCCAGGACACCATATGAAAAAAATATTCTACAGTTACACTATACAAAAAGATGATATACTTTGATACGACTCGATATACGAGAAATAACATGATATAGTACAATACACCGGGCCATGTTGTGCTTCAGGGGATGTCGGGTTCAGACTCGAAGCTGGTAGGCCTCCTAGAGTTCCAGACCTCCTACAGTTTTGGGGCTTAGGGTTGAGGGTTCAACCCCAAACCCCAAAGCCGAACATCTGAACCCTGAACCCTGAATCCTAAACCCGAGCCAGGTTTCAACCCTAAACCCTGAACCCTTTCTATTGTAAAGTTGAACTGCGCTCCCTTTCCGAAAATCCGAAGCGCTGGCATTTTGCCCTCAACTGTGAAACAGACTTAGACATCGTCTACCCCTAAACCCCTTTCGGGCCTGAGGGTTTAGGGCTTCTTGGTGCAGCTCACGCTTCTGAGACCCTGCTTGGCGATCTTCAATTATTAAGGCCCCTATATCATAGTACCCTTATAGATCCCTTATAGTAACCCTTTTAGACCCCTTTAATTACAGGAACCCCCAAAATAGTATAGGTAATCTTCGGTTGTCGGGTTAGGCGGGGCTCTATCTTGCAACGGGTGGGGTTTAGGGCGGACGTCTTGCATGCTTACTACCAAGACTGAAAACGAAAGACTTAAATCCGAGAGCAGTAAAAGAAATCTAAAACCCACAATCTAAACACTGGCCCTAGGACAAAAACGCTGAAGGCTTAATACTAGATCCTAAACCCGAAACCCGAAACCCTAAACTCGAAACTCAAAAAACAAACCCCATACCTCAAACGTACAATCAATCGTAGAGAACATCCCCCACAACTCTGCTAAAAGTACGGCCCCCGGTAGTGGATAGACTCTAAACCCTCAGCCCGAAGCCCCAAAAGCCCTAAACCCCAAAACCCTAAAACCTCAAACCCTAAACCCTAAACCCCCTAGAACCCTAAAAACCAAAACAAAAAAAAACAAAATATCCGAAAACATGTCGAACCCCGATCTCCTCCACTCCCCGGGAGCAGTGCACCATGCCGGGCATGTGCCCCTGGAGGCGGAAGCCCGAGAAGGCCTCTGAAAGCGCAGCTCGGTGGGCCCTCTTGGGGTTTAGGGTTTAGGGTCTTAGGGTTTTGGGGTTGAGGGTTTTAGGGTTTTGGGGTTTTGGGTTTAGGGTTTTAGCGTTTTGGGTTAGGGGTTTAGGGTTTAGAGCCCTCCAAGTTTGGGTTGAGGGTTTAGAACTTATTCGGGTTCAGGGCTGTAGGGTTTGGCTCTCCAAGCCAGGGTTAGGGGTTGAAGGTTTCGGGCTTTAGGTTTTAGAGCCATAGGCTACAGGCCTTGAAGCTCCGGGGGTTTGGGGTTTATAGTCTTCTTGCAAGGTCCGTATTCTTACGGGTCATGTATGCTTTGAGAACTACTGACATATCCAAGTGCCTTCACCTTGAGAGTACCTTCAACCTGAGAATGGGGCTGACGATCCGTGGTTCACAGGCTTTTCTGTGTATCTCATCGGCGGCTTCGAGGCAGAGGACGGAAATATCAGAGACGGATGGCCACTATTGCCGACTCGTTCGAAAAGGACGAGCTTTTTTCCACCTGCGGACCAGGTCGCCCCAGTGGATCTCGGATGTTGCGTCTAGGTCTGAAGCAACTTTCTGTTCTGTCATATAATTGCACCACTCCTTCCCATTCCACACTCCTGTTGTTCTCAGGCTCTCTCTCAAGAGTGCAGGGCTTTCAACTGTCCAGGGCGGCGACAACCTCCACACCTACTCGGCTTACCCAGGCGATGACCCTCTCATTGCACCGGCACGCGATCTTGAACTCTTCTTTCGAGCATTCACGACAATTCCCAGCTTCTTAGCTTCCTCCGCGTACACAAGATCAACATCATCATCACCCTCATCATCACCACCATCACCACCATCAGCTTGAAGCAAACCCTAAGCCTTAGAAGCCCTCAAAACCCTCAAAACCCTAAACCCCCAGCAGCCCGAAACAAACCCCCGAGGGGCCGACGACGGAGCAGTGCGCCAAGTCCGACCCCAGGGCCAGAAGCCGGGACTCCACCAGACGAAGTGCCTGCGGATTTGTTGCTTTTTGTTTGTCCCTTTGTTTTGTTTTAGGGCTTAGGGTTTAGGGGATTTTTGCTTCTTGTTTGTCCCTTTGTTTTGTTTTAGGGCTTAGGGTTTAGGGGATTTTGCTTCTTGTTTTGTTCAGGGCTTGGGGGTTTTAGGTTTAGGGTTATGGGTCTCGAGTGCACGGTTCGGCGTTCAGGGTTTAGGGTTTGAGGACTAGGCTTCAGGGTTTAGGGTTTGTTCAACCTGAGGGTTGTTACAATTGTTCTGTAACTATATAGCCTACTAAAAGGGGCTTTACGGGTTTAGGGTTTAGTACTGAAGCCCATTCAGGTAGGGATATCCCCATAAAATGCTTATGCTTATGTCCTCTTGGGGTCCCTAAGGATGAGGCTTGCTTTGAGACGTTAGCCCCAGGCCTCCTCCACTTATGTCCCTGGCTTACCTGGATGTTCATGGGTAGTAAGAAGTGGGGTTATATGTCCCCTCATATGGGTTCCCTTAGGGGTTCTTTAAGGTTTAGGGTTTAGGGGTCTACGGCCTACTTGGAGGTTCATGGGCAGTTATAAATGGGCTTAGAAAAGTCCCCGAATATGGGTTGTACGTATAGTTACTCTGCTTATAACCCTGCTTATAACTACCCATGAACCTCCAAGTAGGCCCTGTTTGAAGCTTACCGTACATGGTTGAGGGGTTAGGGTGCATGGCTTGGGGTTTAGAGGAAAGGAGAATGACGCGCTTGCATTGAAGCCTCTAACGAAGACTGTACCGCACCATAGAAACCCAAAAGCTCCCAAAAACTCCCAGATCTCCCAAAATCCCTAAACCCTCCGCCACCTAAGTTCGGGCCTAAACTCTAGACTCTAAACCCTCAACCCCTAAGCCCCTAACCCTGAACCAGGGTTTAGGGTTTAGGCTAAACCCATAAACCCTTAACCCTAACCCCTCAACTCCTGACCCCTAAACCCCTAAACCCCTGAACCCCTAAACCCTAAATCCCTAAACTCCGGTTCACTGGGCCTCTTCCTGCGGATCGTCTGGGCTGAGGTTCCTTGTCCAAGCCTCATCGCTTTAGGGCTTTCCGGATTTAGGGCATTGGGGTTTATAGGGTTTGGGGTTTAGGCTTGACGTGATGGAGCCTTAAGGCTTTAAGGTTTTGAATATTTTAAGGCTTTAGCGCTCTAAGGCTTGGGGTCTTTACGGTGTTAATGCTTTGGGTTTCTTGCGGGCTTGGGGTTTAGCGGTTCAGGGTTCCGTGCCGGGCAGGGGTGGGGTGAAGGCAGCTAAACCCCAAACCCGAAAAGCCTAACCCTAAACCCTAGACCCTAGACAGTGTTTATAGAATGTAGGAACCTGATTAAGAAACCCTGGCCCGATGACCCCCAAAATAATGGGATTCATAGAAGGAGCCCTAATAAAGGCCCAAGGTTTCTTAATCAGGCTCCTACATTAGTCAAGGTTGAAGATGGGTGCTTCTTCTGCTGGACATCTCCTGGGGCTCTTCGACAAGACAAGCGCCTTAGTGGCTAGAACCAGACTTTTCATGGGTTTACGAGGGCGATATGGGAGTTTCCGAAAATGAGGGGTACCTTGTTTAGGGGCTCTAGTAATAAGGATACTACTTTCTAACAATATATTAGGTCCCCTATTTTCGGAAACTCCCATACGGTCTTATACCACCACCCTCACCACCACCACCACCACCACCACCACTGCTGGCACCACCATCACAGGGTTTGCTCATTATTGCCATCCAACGCACGCACTGCTGTTCTTGGTGATGATTCTAGCCCTGGTGCTGTGGATCCTTCTAGCACTACTTGGGCTCCTCTAAGAACAGATTGCTGTACATCTTGAATCTTACGCAGAACCCTGTACTAAACACGAAACAACCAACGCCTTCCGCTCCGCGGCTGCATAAACTCCAAACCCGAAACCCTTAACTCTACTTGGAGGTTCAATGCTAGTTATTTGTGGGGTTAGAAGTAGGTTAACTATCCTGACATAACAACCCATGAACCTCCAATCCAAGTACGCTGCAAACTCCGAAGCCCAAACCCTGGGCTCTGAGCTCCTTCGTGCTGGTGGGGCGGCTGACTTACGCTACGTAAGCTCACAGCGGCTTTAGCAACGAAGGCTTTAGGGCTTAGGGTTGAGGGCTGAGGGTTTAGGGTTGAAGGTGTAGGGTGTTGGGTTGATAGGGCTCAGGGATGCTCAGAGTGTAGGGCATGGAATTAAAGCTTTTGAAATCTGGTGGCTTGGGGTCTTAGGATTCAGGGTGGCTAGGCAGTGAGGAGCCGGCAATCACAGCACGGGTAATCCGCATCATCTGCCCCTGCAGATTCTGCTGTAGCTGATGCCGCTGTCCTCCTCCTCGGTGAGAAAGGCCTTGCGTCGCAATCTCGCAAGCCTGCTTTGGAGCGATTTTGTAAGCCTCTCCATCTCTCGCAGGACAAGCACGGCTCCGCACGGCATCGGGCCTGCTGCAGAGGCCGCAGAGCTACTTGGGAGTTTCCGAAAATAGGGGGCCCTAGCATAGTACCCTAAATAGTAGGATCCTTATTATAAGGACCCCCAAAATAAGGTACCCTAATTTTCGGAAACTCCCACTTGGGAGGTGCAGCCGCCAGGCTCTTGGTTCGAACAAGAGTCGAAAGTTGTGAGTCCTCCGCTCGCACCCAGCTTTCATCCGCTGAGACCCAGCACGAGGGACGAGGACTGGAGCCATTAGGGTTTAGGGGTTTAGGGTTTAGGGTGTAGGGTTTATACAGTTTAGAGAAGAGGCTCTGCAAGATTTCCTTCAGGGTCTAGGGCAGCATCATCGCAACCAGAATTTAGCTCGCTCCGTCTGGCGCCAAGATCTTGCACTCGAACGCGCACGTGTGCCGTCGAGGATCTTGCATTTTGGGGGCTGAGATCGCTGGCTTAGCACTTGTTAGTATTTATAGCCTCCCTCACAGTGATCATATCCTGGTGGAGGTAAAAGGACGGATGATACCACTAGCAACAAGCAACAAGGTCTTCGGGTCCAGTGGCTTGGCCGTAGGAATGGCACTTTGATGTGACGAATAGCACCGAAAGTACGATGTGATCTTTTGACGTGAAGGATTGTTCAAGCTACCTGTGTCTTTCTAGGCATATACTGTTTTGAACCATTCCTGGCCATCTGGATATCCCTAAACCCTGACACACCGCCTAGACCTTCAGACCCTACCTAACCGGACTTTAAAGCCGAAACTCGAAACCCTCGGATGCAGGGAGGTGGGAGGAGGATGCTATGTATTGCTAGAAAGCCTCCCATCTTGGCTTCCCCCACCAAAACCAAAAGCAGTCATCATCGTCACCACCCAACTCAGAACCATAAAGCCCTAAACCCCATAATATGGTCCCCTAAACCCTAAATCCTAAACCCTCAACCCTAAACCCTCAACCCTTGACCCCAAAGCATAAGCATCCACTCCAAACCCGAAACCCCGAACTAGGCTCTCCCACGGACCCCTCGCCGAAGTAGCCGCTGATGACCTCGCGGGGAAGCCTGCGACGATTTTCCACCCTAAACCCGAGACGTCGTAAAGGGTACTCGGGCTGCATATCAGGGTGCCTCGGCCTCGGCCCCCTTCAAGGTACTATTCAAGATCTTGAACAAGGTCCGCTGTTTTTGGTATTTTTGGCGTTTGCGGGCTTAGGCCTCAAAGAACCCCACTGGAAACTCCATACAGCCGCGTCAAACGATGTACAAAACGGGCGAGAACGAGAGCAAAGCTACAAAACACTACTTGCATTAAACCCCGGGAACACAAATCATAACACCCTCCAGAACCCTGGAACACTGTGGAAATCCTGAAACAAGAATCATACAACCCTATACGATACTGGAATCACTAAATCTATATAATTCTAGAGAAACCTGTAACAGAAAGCCGTAAATTTCTGCTTGAAACCTTTGAAAGAAAAACTGTAAAACCTTATGGACAGGAACCCTGAAACAAAACCTACAGAAACCCTACAGAAACCAAAAAAAAAAGCTATCGAACCCTGACAAACATTAAACCCTACAGAACCCTAAAACAAAGATCGCAAAAACCCCACAGTAACTGCATGTAACCGCAAACGGTGTATAACAGCATCTAGAAATCCGAAACAAAAAATGTCTATACGACCGTACGAAACACCAAACAAAAAAACTGTAACGTCCCTCTTGGGAGCTTGAACGAACAATGGATACAGATATCTGTGTATGTATGTATATATATATATATATATATATATATATATATATATATATATATATATATTTATATGTATGTGTATGTAACGTATGCGTATATATACATATATGCAGCTTGTCGACACCCTTGAAAAGCTCATACCCTGGGCCCTTCCAAGGCCACCTCTCGAAGCCTCCTGCTCTTCGAAGCTCGTCAGCCTCGCGTAGACTGCTTGATATGGGAGTTTCCGAACATAGGGGGCCCTAATATAGCACCCTAAATAGTAGGATCCTGATTATAAGGAGCCCAAAGTAAGGTACCCCTAATTTTCGGAAACTCCCATATGGGGGGTCTGCATAACTAGAATAGGGCTCCTGTAAGAGGGTTCGTACGAGGGTTGCTGTAAGGGGTATTGTGAGGCGTTGTTTAGTACAGGGTCTGCAAGAGTTTGAATCGTGTTTTGGGGCATACCATGTGCAAAACTGTGTTTCGGAACTATTTAGCGGTTTATTCAGGGTTCCTTTAGGGGATCCACGAGGGTTGGGTTCTTTGAGGTTCCCTAAGGTTTCGATTTGGGGGTTGGGGGTTTCGGCATTGAGTTGTGGGGTGCAGGGGTTAAGGGCGTGACGTTTAGGATTTCTGGGTTTCGTGTTTTTTATTGCGCTGAAATTTGGATTTAAGATTTTGGGGAGGTTTCGGGTTCAAGGCTTCAGAAGGTTCAGGCCTTATTATGGTTCCAGGCTCACGGTATAAGGTTCCGCTTGCTACGGTTCAACGCGTCCACGCAAGAATCCTACAATTTTAGCTCTAACCCCGAAACCCCGAGCCCTAAACCCTAAACCCCGAAACCCCAAACCCGAAAGCCCTCGAGCGCTGAACCCCCAAAGCTTCGGGTGTAGGGTTTCTCTGGCTCAAGGACTCGGGCTTCGGGCTTCTTTTTTAGGTGCAAGCTTAGGGCTTAGGGTTTGACCAGGACATGACCGTCCTCGTACGCTCATGCCAAAACATGGCACGATAGACTTTGCGCCAAAGCTGTCAAATTGAGGTAGTGGACTTTCACTACTAACCCCTACCTGGTAGAATCCATGACTTTACAGACTTTTTCCCTAGACCTTAAACCCTAAACCCTAGACCCTGAACCTTAAACCCTAAACCCTAAACCCTGGCCCTAAACCCTAGACCCTGAACCACCCTAAACCCTAAACACTGAACCCTGGACCTTAAAATCCTGAACTATGACACACGGTACCCGGCGCCTGGGCGACTGCGCGTTGCCGCTCGTCGCTGCTGAGGCTGCCCTTGAGGATACAGAAGCCCTGGCGCGCTTGGAGCTTGGCTTTACCATACCCCCCCTTCCCATAACAGAAATGATATTTTTAACATTCTCTTGGGCTTTTTATATGAACAAAATTTAAAAATAGTTCCTAAGGAGACAATAGTTTAGGGATTTGGGATCTTCGGGGTCTTTGCTTTGGGTTGGGGGTTCGGGATGGGGGGTTCAGCTGGGGGGTTGCTTGGTTCCGGGCTTAACATGCCAGTAAGCTGAATAAGGCTGTGAAGGTGGGTGCTTGCGGGCTTAGACCATGAGAACAGGATCGCGCGATCGAGTGCAGCAATGGTCTATGGCTTCAATACCTAGCTGAGGATACTGGTTTGTGGCTCTGCCTATTTTTTGCTTATGGGGCATTGATAAACGAAACGAGGATGATACCCCTAAACACTAAACCCTAACCGTACTGAGGCTGGACACAGAGGGCCTCAAACCCGAAACGAAGCTTTCGCGAGTCGCAGCGCCCAGAGACTCCAATATCCCTTAATTAAGGAATATTCCTTAAATCATATTAGGGATCCTGCTATAATTTAAGGCATATTCCCTAATTAAGGGGTATTGGAGTCTCTGGGCGGTGCTGAAGCCTAGCTTCGAATGTCAGCCTCGAAGTCCACCCACGACCACGCAGGTGGAAACTGAATTTTTTGGTTCCCTAATGAAAATCTGTATAGTATGTATATATGGATAAGTATATATATATATATACACATATTATATGTGAATATGTGTATATAACTTACGTTCGTTCATGCATTCATTCATTCAATCAGTCAGGCAGTCAGTCATGCTGAAATGTTGATTCATTTCTTTATTTCGTTCTTTATTCCCTTCTTTCCTTCTTTCACTCATTCACCCGTTCACACATTCACTCATTCACTTTTGCATTCCTTCCTTCCTTCATTCATGGAAACTTACTCAACGACATGTGTATGTATGTGCGTACATAAATTTGCATTTATGCGCATAGCAATATCTATACATATACATCCATACTCAACCTACGTATTCCTCAGCTGACGTTTGTCCGCACGTCCACACGTACAATGTCTAAATCCGCACCTTTTCCTGGAGACGGCGACCGATGCGCCAGTCCTTCTCGTACCATCGCAGCTGGTCCCAGTCCTGCAACATGTCGGCTGAGTGCTCGGTGTAGGGTTTAGGCTTTAGGGTTTGGTGTTTAGGGTTTAAGGTTTAGGGTTTCAGAAATAGATCAGCGAGACCCTGTATTCGATCTTAAAGTCTTAAAGTTCGCCTACCTGCATCACGGTCGTATGCTTGTCCCTCCTGTTTCCCATGTAGGACCGACCTATTGACAAAAGATCACATGGCAACAGGTTGGTGCATTGGGCTTACGACCTACAGTACTACAGCTCCCCAGTTTCGCCCAAATGCTGAGGAAGCCCAAACACCCGATGAACCCGGACCCTAAGCCACATGCAACCCAAACCCAAAAGCCCTAGACTCACTCCAACCTAAACCTGGCCGCAAACCCTACACCCTGCACCGTGTTGAACCCATCTCTACCCGAATTGTAGGGTTTTTGGGGGTTTAGAGACCGAGTTCACCCCAAGCCCTAGCTTTACAGCCCTAAGCCTCCCCTGCTCCTCAACGTCGAAGTAGCCAGGAGTGATCTGTGCTGGTACCTGCCAGCAGGACTTACTTCAGGGCTTGAGACAATTGAATAGGTGCGGTCATAGTAAAAGTGCTGGCCTTCAGAAAGAGGATCCTCCTTTTCAGGTTCTGTTTTTCGGGTCCCTTTAGGGTTTAAGGGTTTTTTGGGGGGTTTAGGGTTTAGGGTTGGGGTTTAGGGTTGCCAGCATCCAACCTCCTGGAGAATCGGGGATCCCATCATAGACCCTGGCAGAAGGATCCTTGTTATAAGGACCGCGTGTGTGGGGATCTACACAAGGGTCCAAGTGCCGAATCGTCATATACTCCATCATCTATTAAGCTACATGACTTCTACCCTGAACCCAAGTAGCTAATTGGTTTGTATTTTGGACCCCTAAAACCAGGCCTACGCCACCCTTATCAACAACCTTACAAGTCCGAATAGAACCTACACCACCCTTCTCAAAACACTTTACAACTCCCTATAGAAGAACTTCTCTTGAGCAGCATATCAGCGTTTAGGGTTGTTTTAAGGATTTAGGGGTTTGAGGTTCCCCTAAACCCGAAACCCATCATCAACCTCCCTTTATCCCCGGGCTCTGCCCCAGCCGATCAGCCACAAAACCGGCGGCCCCAAGGCACAAGCAACCGAGGCTTCGATGCGGGGCGTTGTATTAGGTAGCTTGTGGGACTTCCAAGTGTGTGGAAGCTGGCATGCCACAGCAAGAAGCTGGTTCGAAGTGAATATTGCAAGTGCTTGAACCGAGTTCCCTATTGAAGCACCGCGGAGCTTGTTTGCCAGTTGCGCGTACGACAGGTCCCAGTCTACGGATACCGACAGGTTCATCGGTAAACTCTAAACCCTGAACCCTAAACCCGAAATCCTGACCCCCAAGCCCTAATCCCTGAATCTGAGCCTGGACCCTAAACTTTTAAACGGCGGACCGTTTACCCATAAACCCTCTGACAGCTTAAGACATCAACTAGTCTTGAGCCCAACAAAGGAAGATGAGAAACATCCCAAAAGTGGAAGATCCGGATGTGGGTAGTAAACCCTAAACCCCTAAAGGAACCATTACAAGGAACCCTAAACCTCTGAGGGAACCCTTAAAGAGAACCCCTAAACCCTGAAGGAACCCTTAAAGGGAACCCCTACCAGCCTCAGGGAGAGACGGCACCTCTTCGCCCGTCAGGCCAGTCAAAGAATCGACCTGTGAGGGTTTCAGGGTTTCGGGTTCAGGGTTTAGTGGCTTAGGCCTTTGGGGTTTGGGGTTTACGGGCTCTGGATTTAGTGCTTGAGGTATTCTTTGAAGGCTTACTAGGGCTTAGGGTTCAGGGCTAAAGGTTTAGGGCTTGAGGTGTAGCGCTCAGGGCTTACGGAAGGACCCGGCTGCTGTTTCTGATCTATTCAGCTCATTCTTTCGCTTCCTCGTACCCATATAGACATAAACTTGCAACTACTCATGAATCTTCCATCTGTTTACCTACTAGTAGCTACCTGTCTGCCTACCTACCTATATCTACCTAGCTACCTATCTACCTAGCTACTTCATTATTCAAGACGGGCCATTGTCAGATTTTTGTTACAAGATGCCACCGCCAGTTCGGAAGATCCCCCCACATCAAACTTCAGAATGTCCTTCCTTCACCTTGTGTCGACATGCTTTTGTTTGTGGTGCTGAGGGTTTATCCATAATCCTACACCCTCAAAACCGCCCCGTGTACCAAAACCTGAGTGATTATGAAAGTGCCGTGACAACAGTTTCATACTTGAACCATGTGTGATAAACCTTAGAGGAGCCCATAAACAGGCTCCCAGGCCTTGCGAACTGCAAGAACGACCTCATTGACCTCCTTGTACTTTCCGAGCTTGTCCCGGTTCTCGTGGATCTCCTTTAGGGTTCTAGAAGGGTTCCATAAGGGTTCCTCCTAGAACTCGTGCTGATTGCAGGGTTTAGTTCTTAGGACTTACCATGTATCGGTTGGGGCTTTGGGACATACTTGGAGGTTCATGGGTATCCATAAGTGGGATTATAAATCCCCTAACATGGGTTTTAAGTTTTAAGTATAGTTACCCTACTTATAACCCGACTTATGACTACCCATGAACCTCCAAGTAGGGTCCATAGGTTTGGATTTACCGCTGAGGGCCTCAGACTCAGGGCCTTGCGGCTGCATGCATATGGGAGTTTCCGAAAATGAGGCGTGCCTTGTTTGGGGGTCCTTATAGCAAGGATCCTACTATTTAGGGTACTATATTGGGGTCCCCCATGTTCGGAAACCCCCACATGTTTCCCAGGTTCCTGGGTAGCCCCTTTATGATGAGGGTACCCTTGTTCTTAATGTTTGTTTTTAGTGAGACAACGGCAAAAAGGCACTACTCAGGGACCTGGTTTCTGGGGTTTGAGACAGGACACCTTCGGATTCTAATCTTAAGCACCTGCTCTGACAGGAAAGTAAACTTGATCATTTATCCCAAACTTTGTACAATCTTTCTGCGGATTGCATGGGGGCTTGCGGCCTTGATGCTGACGGTTCGATCATGGGCCCACTTACGTGCTCAGAAGCACAAGTGATCTGCTAGCATAGCGAGCTGCAACATGGTTCAATTTAGAACAACCCACTGTCCTATACAAACCACGGGAGGCACCACAACACCCTTGGAAATTACAGTATCTCTGATTTAGCATTTCGAAGCCCGCCCACATCCGACGGACACGAGCCGCAACCGTGCGAACTCGAGGGGCCAGACGTACAACAAATCTATAGCCGACATTAAACTGAGCAGCGCCTAATGGGGTTCTAGTGGAATGCTACAGTGATCCTACAGTGGCAAAGCTGCAAGTAGACTTTGGCCGCTGTCGTCACAACCTATAGTGGTCGGAAACTCTACTACTGAGTCTAAACCCCTCAATACGCGTGGCAAAGGCTCGAGCCTCGAATCATCAACGTTGCAGAAACCTCCTCGCTACAACTTATCATGATCCAATATCATAAATCTTCATATAAGAGCTTATTATATATAATGTAACATTATATCTCTGCTCTGAGGAAAAGGTCCTCTACGGCTCGTACCAGCGAAGGCTCCCCGAGGACCTGTACGATTGACTGACATGGTTCTGCTGCTTACTTGCAAAAAACAACTCTTGCTCGGCTCTTCTAGCTACTCTTTTGTGTGATTATGGCTACGACACTTACGGAAGCATTACGGAAGCCGACAGCGGACTGGGGGGTTGAAGTCCTCGGGCGTTCCTGGGTGTTTTTGGCCTCATGGAACTTGCGGATGATAAAGCCCACCCTTGTCCAACCCTATGAGATGACATCAGACACTGTAAAAACCCGGACACGCACTAGACAAAGACGCACAAGAAAGGCATTCAGCTTTTGGACTTGGAAGACCTGCGATCCTGCGCGCTCGGAGGCTTACCTCTTTTTGGGGTTCTGGCTTGATTTCCTCCGCCCTCTTATATTGAAGTACACTCTTAAAAACCCTATATGCTGTACTATAGTAATACAACATGTAATTTGTCATGAGAAAATGCAATTGTATCGTATGAAACCCCTAACGAACTGCATCTAGAGACATCCCCTAGCACCCTGGCACATCTACATATGCTTCGGCTCGGCTCATCGCGAGACTGGAGTCTTGACATCGCTGGTCAAACTTCAACTCAGTCGCTATCGTGGATGTAGCACCTCATGTTGTCGGAATATAGCATCTTGGAGCCTGTGATGCAAGACTTCCCATATGTTGTCACGTTCTTCTTGTCATGGTAGATGGACGCCTTTTTCCATCTCTGTCTTCGAAAACAGACGACGGATTTCGTCTGTGAAGTCTGAGAAAGATGACCCCCGCACAAGCGCCTGGAAACCCGTAAGCACTCTAAGCAAGGAAAATCCTGGTTAAACCCTAAACCCCAAACCCTAAAACACAAAAAAAAGTGGAAAACCACAGAAACCACTATCAGGAAGGACAGCTATAAACCCTGCTAGTCGAAAACCCCGACCCCTGGGCCCAGGGTTTAAAAACCCTGAACCTGTATATAGATGACTATACATGTACATATACACATATATACATATGTGTATGTATATATATATATATATATATATATATATATATACACATGTATATATATATATATATATATACATATATACATATATATATATATATATATATATATATATGTATCTGTGTGTGTGTGCAATTATTTTTCTATGAAGCCCCTAGTGAATACTTTTGCGAGTAGTATATGTATTCCGACCCTATATGAGAGCCAAGAGTTTGAAGCCTCAAAATCCCAAACCCACCCAAAGCCTGAAACTAAACCCTCAAACCAAACACACTGAAGCCGCAAATGCCTGCAACCCCTATGGAATCATGATAAGACCCTTCCCCTGTAAGACCACCCCTAGAACCCAACTCAAAACTCAAAACCCCTGAACTCAAGCCCCAAACCCAACCCGCAAACCGGTAAGCCCCAAAACGCAAAGCCCAAGGCCCTCAGCCCTGAACCCTAAGCGTCAAAATCAAAGCCCTAAACCCTAAACCCTCAACCAAACCCTAGAATCCTAGAAGCCCCTAAACTCCACAACGCCCCAAAGGCCCCTTAAAGGACCTAAAGGACCCAAAAAAAAAAACGCTAAACGCCTGAAGGATCGAGGGGTCCTCCCATGAGGCCTCCGGTTTGCACGGGTTGAGGGTTTAGGGTTAGGGCGTAGGGCCTAGGGTTTACTCGGCTTGAAGGTGGCCGGAATTTGCAATGAAGGTTCAGTATAGCTCGTGCTTGACTCCCAGGGTTAGGGTTTAGAGTGTGGGTTTTAGCGCTGGTTTAGGGTTTAGGGTTGGCTTAAGCCTGGTTTAGGGTTTAGGCTTTAAGTCTTTTTTGAAGCCCCTTTTCCACCTGCAGCACTGGTGCATCAGTAGGGTAAAACTAACCTGTCTCACGACGGTCTAAACCCAGCTCACGTTCCCTATTGGCGGGTGAACAATCCGACACTTTGGGACTTCTGCATCTCAATGATAGGAAAAGCCGACATCGAAGGATCAAAAAGCAACGTCGCTATGAACGCTTGGCTGCCACAAGCCAGTTATCCCTCTGGTAACTTTTCTGACACCTCTAGCTGAATATTTCTCAGACCTAAAGGATCGATAGGCCATGTTTTCACAGTTTGTATTCCTACTGATAATCAAAATCAAGCAACCTTTTCCCCTTTTGGTCCACATGAGATTTCTGTTCTCATTGAGCTTACCTTAGGACACCTGCGTTATCATTGAACAGATGCGCCGCCCCAGCCAAACTCCCCACCTGACTATGTCTTCCGCACAGATCAGCTGCCAAAAGAGGCAACGTTAAATGTCACATGATGCAAGTTTCAGTCTCACGGAATAAGTAAAATGACATTAAGAGTAGGGGTATTTCAAGATCACCGAAGCTCCCACTTATGCTACACCTCCTGAGTCATTTCACAAAGTCGGACTAGAGTCAAGCTCAACGCGGTCTTCTTTCCCCGCTGATTATCCCAAGCCCGTTCCCTTGGCTGTGGTTTCGCTAGATAGTAGGTAGGGACAGTGCGAATCTCGTCCCAACCGGTTTAGGGTTTAGGGTCAAAGCATCCTAAACCTCGTTTTCAGGCGATGTCCGATGCCCATGAAGTAATCGGAGCTTGTTAGGCACAGACGAGCACAGCATTCGAGGCTCGACAGTAGTAGTGATTCGTTCCTGGAACATCTGTACTTAGATTTACGACAAACTACTTGAAAGGTCACGGGTTGTCATCAGTGGGTGACAAGTCCCCTAGTATGGGTTATAGGTATAGTTACCCCACTTATAACCCTACTTCTAACTACCCTAAACCCTAAACCCTACACCCATGAACCTGTAAGTACTAGACATGGATAAGCCCCAAACCCAAAGCAGGCCCAGCCGTCTTCGTTCCTTTTGGTACTCCACCCTCGATTTAGTGGCTTTGGGGCTTTGGGCTTTTTAGTTCGGGGTCGAAGGATTCGAAGTTGGGTGCTTTTGACTGAAGATACTTCATGGTATAAGGGTACAGGGTTTAGGGCCTACTTGGAGGTTAGGTTCATGGGTAGTTAGAAGTAGGGTTATAAGTGGGTAACTCTACTTATAAACCATATTCGGGGACTTGTAACCCCACTCATGATTACCCAAGAACCTCCAAGAATAACTCCAACTGTATACTACTCTCGATCGGAAGCCGGGACAGTGCAGTTACGCAGAACTGCATTCTAGGAGCCCCTCAACCGCGACCCCCAAACCCCAAACCCTGCACCGGAAACCCTAAACCCTGAACCCCACCCATATGGGAGTTTCCGAAAATTGAGGGGTACCATATTTTGGGGTCCTTATAATAAGGATCCGACTATTTAGGGTACTACATTGAGCTCATGCCTTCAGAACAGCAGGATCATCCGTGCCCGTCACCCGTTGCAGGAGCGAGCTGGCAAAACCACTGAGCATGGCCTGGAGCGCTTGGATGTTTAAGGTTCATGGGTAGTTACAAGGGTTCCTTTCAGGGTCCCTTTAAAGGGATCTATAGGGATTTTATAAGGGTGTAGGGTTTAGGGCCTACTTGGAGGTTCAGGGTCGTTGTAAGTGGGGTTATAAGTAGGCTATACTTAAAACCCATATTAGGGGACTTATAACCCCACTTATAACTACCCATGAACCTCCAAGTACTGCTTGCCATGCTCATAATTGAAATCACTGCTATTGTCACCGAGATCTTCCGTAATGGCATACAAGCCTTCATCAAACAACCATCCTCAACATCATGCAGCATCGACCATCCTTCGCCAGCCATCCACTATCCGACATGATCCTCACGGTCATCCAGATTCGATCAAGTACTGGATCAAGCACCATCCATCACTTAGGGATCAGGATTTGCTTGGGGGTTCATGGGTAGTTATATGGGGGTTCATGGGTAGTTATAAGTAGGGTTATAAGTAGGGCAACTAAACTTCTAACCCATACTTGGGGACTTATGATGCCACTTATAACTACCCATAGACCTCCAAGTAGGCCCTAAACCCTATACTCTTACTGAATCCCTGTAGATCCCTTTAGAGGGAGCCTCCAAGTAGGGTCTGATCAACATCATCACCACCATCCCACACCGACCGTCCCATCGCATCCTGAAACCACCTCTCCAAGTCTGTAGTAATCCAGGTGGGTCTAAGAGTCTAGGGCTTTCTGACATGCTTTCTTGAATGCATGGTGAAACCCTACTTGGAGGTTCATGGGTAGTTAGAAGTGGGGCTATACGTGCGCCAAATATGGGTTATATGCATAGTTACCTACCCTACTTATCAGCCCACTTAAAACTACCCATGAACCTCCAAGTATTAGAACTCACAGATGTGCCCCGACAGAACCACACAGCCACAGGCTCGAAACTTCGAAGAACAAATCGAACTTTAGGGCCTGACATACTTCCAGGTTTATGGGCAGTCAAAAGTAGGGTTATAAGTAGGGCAACTATACTTATAAGCCATATTATGGCCTTGTAACCCCACTTATTACTACCCATGAACCTCCAAGCATTGGCCTGAATCATCAGAAAAGCGTTCCTTTGTAGGGTTCCTGAACAGTACTAAACCCTGAAGCCGCAAGCAACTGGAGCTGAGGGCAGGACGGAATGCCGCAGAGGCTGTGCTGCAACTTGTGGCGCTGGGAACAGCCCCAGCCCCAAATAATACGTATAAGGGAGGTGTCGGGCGTCTGGGAGCTTTGAAGAAGGTTCAATGTAGTTCCTTAGGGCTTAACAACTTAATATAATTTTTTCTCAAGGGCTTTTACTTTGCAGCGCCCTTGCACGCCGAAGTTGTGGCTTTGGGGGATGCTGGTGGGGCGGAACCTCGAAGCCTTCCGGTCATAATTCAGGCTTTAGGGTATTACTATTACTATTACTATTACTATTAAAATTACTATTACTACTAAGGGTATGTAAGGCTTTAGGGTTTAGGGTATGTAAGGGTTTAGGGTTTAGGGTCTTTGAGGTTCCGGGTATCCGGAGACATCCAGTCTAGGCCGCAGGGTTCGAACTTGGAATCAGGATGGTTCTGGGCTGGGGCTCAGAGGATCGGGTTGAAGGTCCAGGTCTTTCGTCTGGTCCTGCTCGTAGTGGAAGAGTTCTTGTTCTTGTAATTGCTGCTCCGGTGCTGCCCCCTTAGAGATGGCAGCGGCAGGTGGGATATACATGAGGTCATTCCGCAAGCTTGCATGAAGCACGACGACGGCGACGCCGACGACAACGGCGACGAGAGCGGCAACAAGAACTGAAAACCTAGACCCCTAAACCCTGAACCCTAAACCCTAAACCCTAAATCCTGAACCCTGAACCCTAAACCCTTAACCCTAAACCCTAAACCCTAAACCCTAAACCCCGAACCCTCAACCCCTAAACCCTGAACCCTGAACCCTAAACCCTAGCATGCAGAAGCAAGCTGTCGACTGTCGATGTGCCAATGGCATGGCAATTTGCCCACAAACCCTACCTGGACCCTAAGGAACCTACCTTTTTTAGGGTTCCCTAATATGATTTCTTTATATAAGTCCTTAAAAAGGTAGGCTACGTGGGCTTAAGGTAAACCCAAAGCCCTACAGCCTCAACCTTGGAACTTTCGCCCTGTCCTGCACTTGGAGGTCCATGGGTAGTTATAAGTAGGGTTATAAGTAGGGTAACTATACTTATAATCCATATTGGGGGACTTATAGACCTCCTTAAAACTGCCCATGAACCTCCAAGTAGGCCCTAAACCCATACCCGTACAGAATCCCTAGAGATCCCTTTAAAGGGACCCTTAGAGGAGCCCTTAAAAGTACCCATGAACCTCCAAGCAGCCTTTTTAAGCCGGTCGCGAACTCGGACCCGGGACGCACCCAGTCTAGCTCAGAGAAGGCCGTTTGGTGGCGCCACACTTCAAGGCTCGCCGGCACCCTTCCCTGAACAAACACTTAAGGTGTAGCGCTTAAGGTTTAGAAGCTTAGACAAGGAGTGGTTTGCGGTAGCTTAGCACGACAGGCAGAGGTATGTCAAGAAGATGCCAGAGTTAACTTACGCATGATCAAGATTTATCAAGCAGGAACACCATCGCAGCATCTAGAAGGCCATCAACCCTGTAAACCAAAACCCCAAAGCCTATGCGCGAAGGCCTAAATCCCGCACCCAACACCCAAACTCTCACCCTCCAGTATAAGGCCTTCTGCAGCCCTGCGCAACCCTGAGAACCCACTCAAGTTGAAGAAAAATCCCACAAACCCCTAAAACACCCTTGCAAACACTCCTAAAACCACCTACAACAAACCCTAAACCCTAAAACCCCTGAAACCACCTACCAAAATCCCAAAACCCTAAAACCTGATGAAACCACCTGCAACTCTCTCTTCGGCGGGGTCCGACGAGCCCCAAAAAAGGCCCCTTGGCCTGACCTGAAATGAGTGGGTGCTAGTTTGCTGACCTGGGTTCTTGATACCTGGTTTTTTTAAAATGTAGCGGATACCTGGGTTTTTGTTAAACTCCTTTTTCCAGGGGGCGACAGTTTGCAGCATCCTAGATACCTGGGGTTTAGGGATTAGGAGGGTTCTTAGGGTCTAAGGTTTTCCTTTAAGGTTTAGGGTTTAGGATGTTCTTTAAGCTTTAGGGTTTACGGTTTAGGGCTCTTGATACCTAGGGTTTAGGATACCTTTATAGGGTTCCATATTATGGTTTCTATATAGTTCCTTAAAAGGTAAGTCTTTTTGGCTACAGGGGGGTTAAGAGCTTAGGGCTTCGGTCTAGGGTTTAGGGCTTCGGAATTTTCTTTAGGGTTTAGGGTTAAGGGTTGTTCTTTAAGGTGTCGGGTTTAGGGTTCTTGATAGCTCGGAGAAAATCACTCACATGTTTGCATCAGGGCTTCGGTGGTTGTGCAGGGCTTATAGCGGTCCTGCAACGGATACTTCTCTTTTCGCTGATTCAACATAGCTCAGCTCCTTGACAACAGCTCTTGAAAGCCCCCACAACACATGTAAAACCCTGATGAAAACCATAAAAACCCTTCTGAAAACGGCTTTAAACGTGGTAAAGCTCTCATACTGCTTTCAAATCAAGAACCCAGCTAACGGGCTTGGGCAGAGCAGGGCCTGGAGGGGAGGGAGACTGCGACAGAGGGTGGGCTTGCAAACCTTCGAGGTTTCTCCGTCGCAGCGAGGCCTCATAGGGTTCCAACGATGGAACTGCCGAGGTAACAGGAAACCCAGTGCCGCAAGATGTCTTGCCTCCTGGCCTCGCGTCTGAGACGCCGAAGGAGAGTTTCGGGTTCTAGAGATTTCAAGAGCTGGGGTTTCGTGGATGAGGACTGCGGCTATAGGGTTTAAGGCTTAAGGTGGTTCGGGGATGAGGCTTGAGGCTATAGGATGTAGGGCTTAGGGTTTGGGATAAGTTTGAGGCTGTAGGCTTTAGGGCTTAGGGTTTCCGGGATAAGGGCTGGGGGCGCGGGCAAGTGTTGATCTTCGCCGGCTTAGGCCTTACGGATCAGGCGTCAGGTTTGTATAGGGATTTGGACTTCAGGGTTCCGCGTACAGGACCCTTACTTGGAGGGTCGGGGGACTTAGTAAGTAGGATATAAGTAGACTTATAAGTGCCTTAAAAGGGACTCTAATAGGGGTTATGGTACTTATAAGTCTCCAAAATAACTACTTACTAAGTCCCCCGACCCTCCAAGTAGGGTTTAGGGTTTACCTTAACCTACCAGAAACTACTTGTTTTGTAGGGTCCTATAAATCCCATATTAGGGTCTATAATAAGAACCTACAAAAAAGTAGGGCTTAGTAGGTCTACGTAGGGTTTAGGGTTTAGGGATCTATTTACCTTCAAGCAGGGTTCGGGTAATTAGCAATGATATCCCCGTTGTAGTCATAATATCTTTCTGCTGCCGAAAAGCCTGATTATTCTCACAAATTATCAAGGCTCCTCTACGAGAACAACCCTATAAGACCCAATAGAAGCCCGTACGAGACGGCATTCCAAATTCCAGAGCTTGGAGGTTCATGGGTAGTTATAAGTAGGGTTCTAAGTAGCGTAGCTATACCTACAACCCATATTAGGGGACTTATAACCCCACTTATAACTACCCATCAACCTCCAAGTAGGCCCTAAACCCTATACCCGTACAGAATCCCTAGAGATCCCTTTAAAGGGACCCTTAGAGGAGCCCTTGTAACTACCCATGAACCTCCAAGTGTTGAGGGTTTTGGGATTTCTCTCCAGCGCGGCTCTTCGAAATCACGCAGAGCCTCTCACCTCGCACAGCGCCGGAAGCGCCGTGTATTCCGCAGCACCGCCTTCTTCCGATGGCAGGCCGATTCACTGAAACCTGCAGAATGCTTGGGCTTTTTCATCGCATTGCGGGTTTTCTTAGGATTCAGAATTTAGGGTCAAGCGCAGCATCATAACTCAAAGAGCGCGGAGTCCCTTGCAAATCCCGGTAGGCAAAGAACCGGATGCCCAACTCCTGGCGGAAAACGCCGAACCAAACGCCCCTAAATCCCTTCCATTACAATTACTTGCTAATTTTACCATTGTAAAACCCTCGTAACACAGCAACAACCCCTGTCTGTTAACACCTGCCCTAAACTCTGAACTAAACCCTTCACCAAGGGAGCTGGTCGATCTCGCTAAATCGTGCCGGCGGGGTAGTGCCGCGCGGTGCTGGGCTTGCCACGTGCACCTGTCGAAGTTAGAGTTTAAGGTTTTGAGACCCCCTCATCCCTCAACCCTAAAACCATACACTCTGACCTCAGCATGTGAAAATCCTAAATCCGAACTCCTGAACATCGACCGCTGAGCTGGCGGAGCAGGTGCCCCTACCAAAGCCTGAGAAAAACCATATATCCTTCAGTCCCCGTAGTATTGTAAATGATCCCCATATCTATCAAAGCCCTTACCGCGCATCGAAAACCCCCAAAGTGGCACCGACCGCCGCTGCCATGGCAGGACGTTCCGCAGCTCGCCGGACTCGCCGAAGATCCACGTGGCCGCAAAGCCTCCATTTAGGACTTAGGGTTTAGGGTTTAGGGTTTGGGGTCTGAGCAGAAGGGCCTACAAGACTCAGACTTGGGTTGATTTTCGAAGGGATACCCTGGGTGCTGACCCTACAAAAAAGTAGATCTTGGTAGGTTGAGGCTCTCTTCTTCAACAACTGGGCCCCAAAAAGTTCAAACTTTCGAAGATAGAGCTAACATATAAGGCCAAAAAGTTTAAAGTTCCCCCGTTCATTATCTAAGAAGGAAGATTACAGGAATGCCAAGTGACGCACGACGTGCAGCTGTAAGATCCCCATGGCAAGCATGGCCTCATGGCAGCTTCCGAGGCTTCGAGAGGCACTTGGGTCTTGGGTTTAGGGTTTAGGCGCTTAGGGGTTTATGGTTTAAGGGTTTAGGGTTTTAGGATTTAGGATTGAAAGTTACAGAGTGTAGGGTTGAGGGTTACCAGAGTTTAGGGTTTTGGGTTTAGGGTTACAGAGTCAGGGGTTGCAGAGTTTAGGGTTTAGGGTTTGGGGTTACCGAGTTTAGAGTCTAGGATGGATTGGCGCTGAGGTAAAGGGTACTACAGCTAGTTAATGGGCAATTGGAACTTCCTCTGGCCATAACAAGGAATAGCACCACAGTAGTTCCCACAATCTGGGGTCATCACGGCAATGCAAAAGCTTGTCGACAAAAAGAAGGAGGTGTTGATGGAGTTTAATTTAGAGTGGAAGGTCTTGCGGCTATGCATCCGTCGTGGTTGAACGATAAGATGAAATCAGTAATTTACGTAAACTGGAGCCGACATAAGCCTTAAACCCTATAAACCCCATGTGAAATCGGGACCCACCTCGTCCTGGTACAGTGCGTCGATGGTAGCGCTGCTATAAGACTCGCCTTGGGGGGGCATGTTCTGCGGGGACAACTGCTGTTAGTATTTTCATAAGCTCCATGGTTTAGGGTTTGGTGTAGGGGGGCTCTCCAAAGAATAGTATTCGTGGTCAGTCAAGGCCCTATATTGGGTTCAGAGCTTCTTGCTGCCGATGCCACCAACACCGATGATAAGGTCCCCAGGAAGCAGCTGATCACCTTGGTTTCATGCTGTCATTTCGGGGTTCGGGGTTGAGGTGAACTGAGACAGGCAAAAACAACACCCTCAGAAGCAGCAGTAGTAGTAGCAGTAGCCGCAGCCGTAGCCGTAGCAGTAGCGATGGTAGTAGCAGCAGCGGTAGCTCAGGCGGAGGAGCAGGAGGAGGAGGAGGAGGACAGTGGAAGTGGTAATGGTGGAGGTAGCGGTAGTGGAAATAGTAGTGAGTGGCAGTGCAGCCATCGACCGCGCACGTCGCCGTCGATCGACCCTCATGTCGAAATGATGCTGCAATCGCCGCACGGATTGTAGAAAAGGACATCGGCCTTGCGAAGCGACGACGAAGACTGTCCAGGCAAGCTGCGGCACCAAACCGCAGAGTTCCGTGGAGTGTGCGGCCGACGTCGCATGGGCCCGTGCTGGAAATCCTGCCCCGCATGCCTGCATGCGCCTTCAACGCACGTCGGTTTATGAGCTCCGCGCACCACGCATGCCTGTCTCTCGCCGTTCTCGTTGCGTGCTATAGTGACTGAATTCTGACTGTTCTAAGCACGTCCGGAGATGCCTTCGTGTCTAACCTACTGATCTGGAGATCTTTGGTGGAATAGGAACGGCAGCAGCAGAGCAGCGGTCGTCGCTGTCGCGCTGCTTGCTGCAGCTTCCGACAGCTTAAGGTTATGGAAGCTTCATGATTTGAACGGTTTAGGGTACCACGACGATTTGGACATGGATGATGACGATGATGACGACGATGATACTGATGATGGTCGTTTTGATGAGGGCTGTTATCCTGGAAAGGAACACGGTATGCAGCCAAGTATCGTGGGAATCCCTTCAAGCACAGCCTTGGCTAAGTTCATTGCGCTTCGTCAGTGGTTCAGGCGTAGTTATAAGTAGGGTTATAAGACTATACTTATACTACCCCATATTAGGGGAATTATGAGCCCACGTATAACTACCCATGAACCTCCAAGAGCAGGTCTGATCTGGCGAAGCCTCTTGAGTTGAATCTCAACCGGCCAGAATGGGAGTTTCCGAAAATTAGGGGTGCCTTGTTTTGGGGTCCTTCTACTAAGGATCCTATTAACTAGGGTACTATATTAAGGTCCCCTATTTTCGGAAACTCCCAAATCAATTCAACCGTCGGTGACAAGAGTGACTGGCAAACAGCGGAGCTGCTGGGGACTGCCCTCAAACACTACCTAAGCACCCTACGTGCTAGACCTTAATGCAGACGTCTGAAAAACTAGTAATTCGTAAGAACTTTCGCTTATAGCTCCTCTGTAATCGTGCTGTTTTTACACCCTCAAGACGTGTGCGTGAAATTGTCGCCTATTCGACGTTGAATGCTCTAAATCCTACGCCTGCAAAATGTCAAGCTGCCCAAAGCCCCAAACCCTAAATCATTGATACAACCCTTACAGAACGTTGTTGTCCCTTCTAGCAGCCCTTGTAGAAACCTAAATCTCGGGAGCTGCCCCCACCCTGTAATAGTGACCATAAGGATTATATTAGGGATTACTAGGGCCCTATGATATTCCTATTATACACAATTAATTACAGGGTGGGGGCAGCTTCTAACCTAAATCCTACACATGAAAAGATCGACAGGAAGGTCTTCCAATGTAAACCCAGACCCCACCTACAACCCTAACCCAAGCCCTACACCCCACACCATGTAAAAAAAGTGCTTCTGGCTTCGGGAGTAGAGATAAGGAAAGCCCTTCCTTAAAGGCCTACATGAATTCCGTACAAATCCTAAACCCGAAACCCGAAAGCCCTTCCTTAAATGCCTGCATGAATTCCTTATAAACCCTAAACCCTAAACTCTCAAGCCCAAAACTCTAAACCCTAAACCCTAAAGCCCAAAACCCTAAACCCTAAACCATAAAGCCCAAAACTCTAAACCCTAAATCCTAAAGCCCAAAACTCTAAATCCTAAACTCTAAAGCCCAAAACTCTAAACCCTAAACCCTAAAGCCCAAAACTCTAAATCCTAAACTCTAAAGCCCAAAACCCTAAACCCTAAACCATAAAGCCCAAAACTCTAAACCCTAAACTCTAAAGCCCAAAACTCTAAACCCTAAACCATAAAGCCCAAAACTCTAAACCCTAAACTCTAAAGCCCAAAACTCTAAACCCTAAACCATAAAGCCCAAAACCCTAAACTCTAAAGCCCAAAGCCCAAAACTCAGGAGCCCTCTTCAACCTCTCCCTATGCAGGCGAAGAGCTCGTTCCAGCGCTCCAAAACACCGCCCTGGCTTCAGGGGCATGTGCTTTTCGGGGTTTCGGCTTTAGGGTTTAGGGTTTAGGGTTTAGGATTTAGGGTTTAGGGTTTAGGGTTTAGGCTTTGGGGGCTCAGGTGTAGGGTTTAGGGTTTAGGGTTAGGGTCCCAGGTGTAGGGTAATATAAACGGTTTAGGGTTTGGGGTGAGAGTTTGTTGTGCCATGCAAGGGGCGATTAGGGGTTACTTGGAGGTTCATGGGTAGTTATGAGTAAGGTTATAAGTAGGGAAACTATACTTATAACCCATATTAGGGGACTTATAACTCCAGTTATAACTACCCATGAACCTCCAAGCAGGCCCTAAACCCTATACCCTTTCAGAAGCCCTATGGGTTCCCGTGAAGGGACCCTTAGAGGAACTCTTATAACTACCCATGAACCTCCAAGTAGGTTTGGGCTTCAACTTTGGGCCAGTGGGTTGAGCGAAACAAGCGCATCGATGGGCTTCCCAGAGAGCCCAATGCCCCTTAATTAAGGAATAGCGAGGGTTCCTTTAAAGGGATCCTTTAAGGGATCTATAGGGTTTAGGGTTTCGGTATTTCTAATACCCCCTTAATTAAGCAATATACCTTAAAGTATAGGGGCTTCATATTATGGTTTAAGCTATATTCGTCAATTAAGGGGTATTGGGCTCTCTGGGTTTCCCAAATCGGACGAGGAATTGTTTTGGTTCGGAGCCCGAAACATTCAAGGCAGAGGCACTATCAGAAATGCTGCAAGCACGACTTCAAAAAAATTCACATGTTTGCATGCAAACCACACACGGCCCAAGCCTAAACCATTATAAACCCTGGTATTCCTGAACCCTACACCCTCAACCCTCCCCAACCACAAAACCAAGCCTCCTCGACGGAGGTGACAAGAAGTCCCTCCACGTCGTCGGCGAGCTTATGCTGCTGACCTTCGACGGACTTACGGGTCCTCTGAAAGTGATAGGATCCATGCCGTAAGGGGTTCTGGAAGGATGCGATAGAGGTTTGTAAGGCCCCCTAAAGGCGACACCGCCAGCTGCCTCAGCTGGGGGCTCAGGGTTTAACGGTCTATGGACCTTCAACCCAAAACTCTAAACCAGGCAGGCTGCATTGCAGTCCAATCGTGACGCCATCCGCAACCCTGACTCGCACCATGAAGTCGTACACGGGCTCGGCCGCCAAGGTTTCAACCGGCAGCCACCTTTCCGTGGGAACCGGAAGAGCTTTTCGGGAGTTCGGGTTGTTCGGTTGGTTTGGCATGTTTACTTAAAGGATCATGGGACTTAGTAAGTAGGTTATAACTGGTGTTATAAGTCCCCTAAGTGGGGTTATCCTAATTATAACCTACTTATAACCTTACTTACTAAGTCCCATGAGCCTTCAAGTAGGGTCTCGGGCCGAGGGCTTTGGGTTTAAAGTTTAGTTAAGAGTTAACGGTGTGTTTAAGGTTTAGTCGCGGCTTTCGAGTTATTTGTTTTTTTATGTACTACAGTCATCCTTTCCTTAACGATCCCCAACCGAAGTCTAACCAACAACTTTCGGTCTGGAGACGGTAGCCCTGAAACCGAGGCCGGAACAGCTGCAAAACCCCCTTACTTTTCGCAGATAGATTTGACGCTTGGGCTGCTTTGCGCGCTTCGGTTTGAAGGCTCTGCGTTTTAGGCCATTGGGGCTTAGGGTTTAAAGTGAAACCTCACCGAAACCCTGAACCCTAAATTTCAATGAATTTGGAGCTCAGCCCCTGAAGTTCATCAGGAAGAACTACTGGGTCCTTAGGAAGTAGAGTAGCATTTTCATCGCTTTTGTTGAGGGTGGGTCGGCGATATTATAGTACAGCATTGTATGACTCGCAGTGAGGAACGCTAAGGAATAGCAACCCTAGCCCTAACTATTTCGGCATTTCGAGGTCTGTACATTAAAGCCCTAAACCTCCAAACCCCAAACAAACCCTAAACCCCAAACCCCCAAACCCTAAACCCTAAACCCTAAATCCTGGACCCTAAACTCTAAACCCTACACCCTAAACCCTGAACCCTAAACCCTGAACCCTCAACCCAACTCTAAACCCTAAACCGCGAACCCTACACCCTAAACCCTACACACCACACCCTAAACCCTACACCCTAAACCCTACACACTACACCCTAAACCCTAACCCCTAAACCCTACACCCTCGTTCCCCACCCTCCAGGATGGTCAGGGTGATGGGGTCTGAGAAAGGCCAGGCCATCTTTGGCATTGCAGAGCCTTAGTTTGATCACATTCGAGGTGTCCCTTAGGGGTTTAGGAGTTTAGGGGTTTAGGGGTTTAGGGGTTTAAGGGTTTAGGGTTTAGGGTGTAGGGTTTGGGGTGTAGGGTTTAAGGTTTCCGGTTCAAGGTTCCGGGTTGGGGTGCAAGGTTTCGGGTTTAGGGCTGCGGGAGTTCATTCATATGGTTTGGGCATAAGGTCTCGGGTTTAGGTCAGTGGGGAGCTGGTGGCTTGAGGCTGTGCATGTGGACGAGCTTTGGGGTTTTGGGCTCTTGCCTCTACCCTGAACCATAGACCTCAAGTGCTCAACTCAGCTCCCGGGAAGAAACTGGTTGTAGTCGTAGGCTCTAATCTGAACATGTCAAACTGTGAACCCCAAGACCGTAGCCTGCAAGACCATACCGCTGGAAAGACGGAATTCGTTCCCCTTGGCATACGCCGGAACACAGCTAACCTACAAAAGCAGACTACAACAGGGCCCGATCGAATATCTAGAACCTAACATGTCCTGCCTGACATGGTCCTGCCCGGACATGACAGCTAAGCTTGAGGTCACTTGAGGTTTTAGGTTTCTTTTGGAGGGAGGGAATCGGGGAGCGAACCCTGACCTAGCTCCTGCCACGCGAATGGGCCTGCCATCACACAAAAAGCGCCAAAGCTCATCCGCCCACTTCGAGCCCCCCAAAACCCTCAAGCCCGAGAGCATTTAAGCATAATGATTGTTTGCTGCAAGCAGCAAGAGAGGCTGATCGCTGTCCCACTGCAGGAACTGGGCGCCCTCAACATCGTATTTCTTTCTCACCTGTAGCGGTGCTGCACAGAAGAGGAGGTTTGCCTTCTCATATACCCTAAACCCGAAACAAGCCTACACCCTAAACTGCGACCCCTACGATCCTAACCTCTACATCCCTAAACCCTAAAACCGTAACCTGTACATCTAACTACATGAACCCGAAACCCTAAAACCCTGACCTTTAAATCGAAACACCTGAACCCGAAACCCTAAAACCGCAACCCTAAACTACCGTAAACCCCAAACCCCTAAAACCCCTGAAACCCCTGAAAAACCTACACCCCTAAAACCCCAAAAGCCTCAACCCTAAAACCTCCACTCTTGGAGGCATCTCTTAAAAGCAGCCCTCTTCCTCTTATCAACGCCCTTATACTAGCTGCATACCGGCACCTCCATGGTCAACGGGCTGAGGACCTTCCCGGCGCCGCCGAAGTGTCCAAGAAATTCGGCTCTACCTCGCTCGGAAAGGCCCAGGACCAGGGTTTTATGATGGGAAGAATATTACGGTTTAGGGTTTAGGGAGTATATAAGAAGAAGTAGAAGAAGAATCAAGATGATTAGCATCAAAGAATACGAAGAATACTACAGATACTTACAATACCAATGCTACTAGTAACAATGCTAATAAAAAACAGTAACGATAAAAATTAGTAGAAACAACAACCATAATTATAGCAATAATAGTAAGGATAATAGTAGTAAGAATAATAATGGTAAATATAATAATGACAACAATAGTTAAACTAATCGTCGTTTTCGGGTTTAGGATTTTAGGGTTTAGGGTGTTGGGTTGTAGCGCTCTGAGTTTAGCTCTCAGGGCTGTGCGCGTAATCTTGTCTGCGTTTTCTGGCTGGTGTGATCTCTACGCATGCCATGGGGGGCCTTGCTGGTTTTGCTAAGGTGTTTCTTGTGTTTTCCTTTGCACTTGTGTTTCATGGTTGAGACCTCAGAAGTTTTGAAGAGCATCCGAGATGCCATCGGGAGAAGATCGCGGCCTCCCCACCGGAGGGGCACCTGCAGGAACGTGCGCCGAGGAGGAGCCATTCAGGTAGACCCCCTTGCCCATGCCTTTCTGTCCAGAGGCCTTTGGTTGGGGTGTGTCCTCATCGTCGCTGTCGGGGACAGGGGGTGGAGCAGGCTTGGGCTTCGGCACACTTGAGACACTTCCGAACGTGGGGGTGTACCGGGGATCGGCCCCAACAGGAGCCGTCTTGCCGCTACCCTTTGAGGGATCCGGTGCTCGCTGAGGCGGGCCCTGTGGAATCGGTCCTGGTGGAGCTCCTGCTGGTGGGACCTGTTTCCCAAATCCCTTGCCCACACCATTGTACGCCGGCGCCGCCGCCGGTGCTGGCTTCGGGGTGAACTGAGGGGCGTAGGGAGCACCAGGTGGCCCTTCTGGTGGGCGGTAAGGAGCCGCATGCGGAGTGCTCGGCGGGTAATATGGCTGCTGCCGGATCTGGGTGCTTTGCTGAGGCATCGACTGCGACCAGGGGTCATTTCCTTACTTCCTCAATAAGCCACAGAAATAAAAGGCTAAACTAGTAAAGGTTAGGTCTGTGAGCACCCTTAGACCCTAAACACTGAGCCCCTCGACCCGAAATCTTAAACCCTGAACCCTAAACCCTATACCCTATACTATTGGGGATCTAAGTTTCCATCAGCCCACGGATCCTCCTGAGGCGAAGCAGCGTAGTGCCCGGCTGACTGCGGCCCCTGCTGCGCATATGCATGCGTCCCTCCATTTAGTCTCACCTGGACAGGCCCAGAGAGCCCAATACCCCTTAATTAAGGAATATACCTTAAATCAGTAGGGGCTTCATAATATGATTTAAGCTCTATTCCTTAATTAAGGGGTATTGGGCTCTCGGGGAAGCTCGAATTTTCGTGCAAGAGTAGCAAACCCGAAACCCTCACCCCTCCCTGAAAGATGCAAGTTAATCCCCCTAAACCTTCAACCGCCCAAGCAGCCAACCCGCATGCCTGACCCCTTGTGCCCAAACCTCACAATCCCTCAACTCTGATCCAAAACATGCGATTCCTAAAGCCTCAACTAAACTCCACAAACATACTTGGAGGTTCATAGGTAGTTATAAGTCGGGTTATAAGTAGGGTAACGATACGTAGAACCCACATTAGGAGACTTATAACCCTACTTAGAACTACCCATGAACCTCCAAGTAAATTAACAAGATCCCACAAGGCCTTCGCTAAGTCCAGCAATCCCCGATCCCAGAAACCCCAGACCCTAAACCCCAAAACCCTAAAACCCTAAAACCCCAAAACCCCAAAACCCTAAAACCCCAAAACCCTAAAACCCCAAAACCCTAAAAACCCCAACACCCTAAAAACCCCAAAACCCCAAAACCCCAAAACCCTAAAAACCCCAAAACCCCAAAACCCCAAAACCCCAAAACCCTAAAAACCCCCAAAACCCTAAAAACCCCAAAACCCCCAAAACCCCAAAACCCTAAAACCCCAAAACCCTAAAAACCCTAAAACCCCCAAAACCCCAAAACCCTAAAACCCCAAAAAACCCCAAAACCCCAAAACCCTAAAAACCCTAAAAACCCCAAAACCCCAAAACCCCTAAAACCCCAAAACCCTAAAACCCCAAAACCCTAAAAACCCCAACACCCTAAAAACCCCAAAACCCCAAAACCCCAAAACCCTAAAAACCCCAAAACCCCAAAACCCCAAAACCCCAAAACCCTAAAAACCCCCAAAACCCTAAAAACCCCAAAACCCCCAAAACCCCAAAACCCTAAAACCCCAAAACCCTAAAAACCCTAAAACCCCTAAAAACCCCAAAACCCTAAAAACCCTAAAAACCCCAAAAACCCCAAAACCCCAAAAACCCCAAAAACCCCTAAAACCCTAAAACCCCTAAAAACCGGACAGGGCCTGAGAAGTCGGACCCGGCCGGGATGCCTGCTGTCGTCCTTGCGCCCACATGTCTGCGTGGACCCGGCTGGGATGCTCTGCCGGCTGTGTCGCAGCCGCCCTGCTTGGCTGTCCTGCCAAAGGGTTTGGGGTTTGGGGTTTAGGGTTTAGGGTTTAGGGTTTAGGATTTAGGATTTAGGGTTTAGGGTTTAGGGCACCCTTACTTGTCATTTCATGCGGATCCGGGTGTGGGGTTTGGGATATTTACGGTTTAGAGATACTTGGGCTTAGTGTTTAGAGGCTCCACAGAACTTACTGGCACACCTATATAATCCAGGATTATGAAATGTGTTTTTGTGGGCTTTGGGCCTCGTCTCGCCCACCCCTAGATGAAGAAGTTTAGGTTACTATATGGGTAGTTGTCAAAATTGGGATCCCTTTTTGGGTACCTTAAGTACTAGGTGCCGTATTATAATAGGAACCCAAAAAGGAACCATAATTTTGACAACCACCCATATCACAGCGACACCCCCGCAGATCTCCCCCTGAACCCTAAACCCCAAAACAAAACCCTCGGTTTTTGGCAAGACCTGCGTGTGCCGGCGTCGGCAGACTGGACGCAGCCCAGGGGTCGTTATTGGGAACATCCCACGGATCGGGTGGTGGACCTGACCTGGGCGCATGTTCAGGGTTTTAACGGCTTACAATAATGCTAATCTGTAGGGGTTCCTTTAAGGGATTCATTAGGGTTCCTTTGAGGGTTTAAGGTTTAGGGCTTACCATAATGGGGATCTATAGTACACAATGGGGTTTCCTGTTTATGGGAACTTGAACTAAACTCCTGAACGAGAAAGAACCCAGTGGCTGTGTTGCAGCTGCTTGCTGCGGCGGTGCTTCGAAAGCAGAAGCTGGCGCCGTGTTCTGCTGACCTGCACATTCGAAAAATGCTAGGAGGGTTTAGGAACGTGCTCTGCCTCGACCTATTAGAGGTACGGCTTCTTCAATACAAAACCACGGGACTGCACACCTGACGTCCAGGATCAAACAATAATAAATAATAAACTTCTGTTCGTCCCGCCGGCCACCTGCATGTTGAGGTGTCGGCCTCTGTGGCAATGATGCGGCCCAGGGGTCATTCGTGTCCCAGGGATCCGGAGGTGGTCGCTGAGAAGCTTCCGCACGCTGAGGAGCATCATCGGACTTCCACGATGTCTCCGATCTGTCTCCGTCTTCCATGGCTTCTCCGTCCACCATGGCCGGCACACCGAACTAGATGCTCTATGCAGGACAAGTTCAGACTGGAAAGTCAACTGTGGGCATCCACCCGCCTGTTTATGTCGCGGTCTAAAGCCCCTCCATGATGAGATGACCGGTAAACACTAGGTGCAGGTTTACCATACAGTTTCTCTGTGCCCTGTTCTGCGTCGTGCTCGGAATCGAGCAAACAAATCAAGCAAGCCTCAAGCAGTGACCAAAACACAGTGTGGAAAGCAAGCGGTATGGGAGCCGTCACAATGCCAATAGGGTTTTGCGATGCATTAAAACCCAAATCCCTGAACCACAAACCTACGGAACAATGATGATAACTAATGCAGGTTTCTATGTGTCGACGAGATGGCTCCGATCTCGACTTCAGACTGAACCATCCACCCTCAACCTTACATCGTCAGGGTTAAGGGTGTAGGGTGTAGGGTAGGGTTTAGGGTTTTGGGTTTACGGTGTTTGTTAAGGGTGGTTGGTTAGGGTTTAGGGTTTCGGGCGCCGACGTCGCCTGCCGGATTCCACAATAAGGCATCGGCCGTGTATTACGGAACCCAAATTGAACATCAAGCACCCACGATAAGGTTTGTGGGGGAGGCTTGCGAATTTAGGCCGAACACTGAACCTTCAAGCCGTAGAGGGTTCAGGGGTGGTGAATTTAGGTTCTAGGGTCTTGATGGATTTGATCCAATGTCACGGTGCCCCCTTTTGGGCTGCTAGGGTTTAGGGTTTGGGGTTCGGGGTTTCATATGTTAAGGAGCACCAAGGGACAGCACTGGCATTCTATCTAGGGACACATTTTAAGTGTTGAACTTTGGTAACGTGAGTGCAGGGTTTACGGTTTGAAGCCTGGGGTTTGGATTTCGTGTGGGTTCGGGCTCACGCCTACCGCCAGATTCTTCGGCCACGTAATGCAAGGTTTAGGGTTTAGGGCATAAGCAATACTACGGTTGATGATATAAATCCTGCATTACCCATAATGAGGAATATACCATAATTCCCACATATTCCCTATTATGGGTAATGCAGGATTTATATCATCAATCGTAGGACCAAAAGGGGATTGGGTAGTGTCTTACGAAACCACAAAAGTTGAAAAAGTGATGGCCTTGAGTTTCTACTCCCTGGGATTCCTGAATATGGGTGGTTGTCAAAATTATAGTCCCTTCTTGGGTCCTTATTCTAATACGGCACTTAATATTTAGGTTACCCAAAAAGCGGGCCATAATTTTGACAACTACCCATATAGTTTTAGTAGACAAGCCCCAAGACCCTCTTCTGATTTTGCAGTCCCCGATCGTCGCCAAAAAACCTTCCAGCCGAAACCTTGGGACAAGTTCCTCAAGGGCTTAGGGTTTGGGGTTTAGGTTTAAGGTTTCATGTAGGAACCTGATTAAGAAACCCTGGGCCTATAACCCCAACATAGCAGGATTCATATAGGGAACCCTGATACGTTCTCAGGTTCCTACATTAGGGTTTAGGGTTTAGATAGGAGTTAGGATTTGGGGGACCCTTGGGGATATAGACCCTCTCAATAAGGCCCCTTTTAAGAGTGCCAGAAGTAGGGTTCAGAAGGGGTGCCCTTTAAGGGGTCTCCCTAATTATACTACCCAGTAGAGCCCTTCACGACCATATCAACAGGAGGACAACCGGGCTGAGATAAGGCAAGCTGCTGTTTTCCAGGCCGCGCTAGCGATACCCAATCCCCAGAGAGCCCAATACCCCTCAATTAAGGAATATAGCTTAAATCGTATTATCCCAATACCCCTTCATTAAGAAATATAGTTTAAATCGTATTATGAAGCCCTTAATGACTTAATGATCTAAGGTATATTCCTTAATTAAGGGGTATTGGGCTCTCTGGGCCTGTCCAGGACGGTGGTTCGGAACCCAGACACTCTGATATCCCGTAGTTAGGGAATATACCTAAAATCATGTTAGGGATCCTACTATAGTTTCAGGAATATTCCTTAATTAAGGGGTATTGGAGTCTCTGGGAAACCGTGCACCGCAAGTGTGAAAGACCAGAGGAAAGCCTGACACTCTTGTCCTTTTAGAAACAATAGACAGAGCCCTGTACCTATATCCCTTAGTAGGAATGATTAAAAAAGGTCTACTAGCCGGTCTGTTTATTCTTTTGGGGGAACCATGAAAAAGGACAAGGCTGGTTTAGAACACTCCACCCTACCTCGGCCAAAAGGCTCGAAACACTCTGAACCCGAACCCGAAGCCCTCAAGCCTGAACCCTAAACCCGTAAACCCTAAACCCAAAACCCTAAGCCCTAAACCCTAAACCCTAAACCCTAAACCCTAAACCCTAAACCCTAAACCATACCACAAAGCATGTGCCGCTGCTTCAGTTCGAGTTGTCTGACGGCCGCCCCCTGGCTTGTTCGGAGAAGCAGGGTCGGGTTAGGGTTTAGGGTTATTGGGTTCGCGGGCAGCGGTAAGGTTGGGGGTTAGGGTTCAGGATTTGGCGATTTTGGTTTAGAGGGGGTTTAGAACTCCAGGCGACGGAGCGGCAGGAGGAAGAGGAGGGGTTGCCGGTAGTAGGACGAAGAAACAGTAAGACTCAGTAAGACTAAGTACCACTCACGTCCGTAGGAATCTAGTCAAGGCTCCGGTAGGAAAATCAACAGGTTGAGCAAGTACTTGAATAAAGGCTACTGTACGATGCGTCATGGCCACTTGCAGAAACGGAGAATCACAACGACAATTGAGATTGTCGCGACCTAGCTGGCGAAGAATATGGATCCTGTTGAGCCTGTTGTGTTCATGTTTAGGGTTTTGTTGAAAGGGCTCGTTTCGAACTGCTTGAAGGTCTGCCATATCATGTTTGTGAAGGGTTTAGGGCTTAGGGTTTATTAGGGTTTTTTGGGGGTTCATTAGGCCGTATATACTAGGGTTCATTGGGGTGAATGAGGGTTCATTATAGGGTTTATTAGGGTTGAGTAGGGTTTATTAGGGTTCATTAGGGTTTACTAGGGTTTGTTAGGGTTTAGGGGTTTAGGGCCGAAATAGATTTCGGGCCCATCGGTTTCAGAGGGAAGGGTGAGATGCGTGGGCGCTGGAAACGGACGGGGTTGGGTTTAGTGTTTAGGGTTCAGGGGTTAGGGCTTGAGGGTTTAGGGGTTTGGGCTTTAGGGTGTAGTGTTCAGGGTTTAGGGGATACGATATAATGTCGGAACTGATCGGGGAGACGCCTGAGTCTGAAAAAATAGCTCTTGATAAGGGATGCTACTGATTCAACGGTTGGGTCACATGATTACTGGGCTTTAGGATTCGGGCTTTTTGCAGCCTTGGGATGCAGTTGAAGCACTTCTGGCACCAGTGTCCCCCAAACGGCAATGCAACTGTAGCGCCTTTAAACTTCCAAAATACCTGTTTAGACTTTATATCGCAGCAAAACACTCAGATGAAAATTCAAGCAGTTAGACAACCCTGCACGTGGCGTCGCACGTTTCTGCACTCACAGGGCTGACGGGACATTGAGTCCCTCGACGGTCGCCCCAGGCCAATAAAACCGGCTGCGGGCGCTACCTCAGTCTTCGGTTAAGGGTTCAGGGTTTGGGATGCAGGGTTTAATAATCAGAATGGAGTTTTGGGGCATATTGCAGTCCACTTTCAGGAACCGAAAGGAATACAATCACTATTTTGGAGTTTCCAAACATAAGGGACCCTAATATAGTACCCTAAATTGTAGGATCCTTTTTATACGGACCCCAAAATAATCTACCCCTTGTTTTCGGAAACTCTCATGCATTTGAGCCCTGATTCTGGCTCAGGGTTCGGGGAGGCCCTGGCATGGGGAGGCCCGTGGGTTTCGCGCTTCGTCACAAGCCCTGCCCTGAAGCCGTAAGCCCTTAACTCTTAGAGGTCTCTAGGGCTTTGGGTGGTTGGGGTTCAAGCCCCCAAACCCAAGCCCATACCTTCAAGTCTACAAGTCTGTACCGTAAACTTCAAGCTTGAAGGTTTCTTGGTGGCCCTGGCGGTTCATGGGGTGGTCCGAAGTGAGTAAGTAACTTCACTGGCGATGGACAAATCAAAAACCCTGAGTCCAACACTCCAAATCTTGCACCTCGCACATTGTGCTTGTGAAGCGGAGATGCCAACTTTTGTGGCCAGCAGGCGCGTCACAGCCACGTACCTCCGGGATTCTTGCGTCTACAGTCTCGCGTGGTGCACAACACCTTCCGTCATGATATCGCATCACAGGGAAAAGCAAAATTTCAGGGTGGTGTGCCACGCAGCCCTGAGATTTCAGCCATAGTCAATGCCACTTCATATTAGCTCACACTCACATGTTCTCGTAGCATCAATTTAGCTTTCGCTGAGCTTGCTGTGTCTTCGATCATTATTCAGCACACGTGCACATACTTGCAAACATGTATCTGTATGTGTGTATATGTATATACACATATATGTATATAACATTTGTGTATGTATGCTACTTAGCTATGTATCCGGCGACTTCATTATTCACTTACCAGCTTATCTATTGATACACGTTGTGTTGTTATGTTCGGAATCAGACTCCAAGAGGCAACGGTTTGTGCTTCTCTGTCTGGCTCTGTCCGCCTCTGTCTGTCTGTGTCCCTCTCCGTCTGTCTCTCTCGGTCTCTGTCTGTTTCTGCAGAACCCCAGGTGGGAATATGTGGCTGAGGCCCCCCACGCATTCCGGAGGTGCCAATCCTGATAGCACAAGCCCAACACCACGCCGGACCAGAAGGTTGAAGAGTTTGGGTGCTAGGTTTCGGGTTTAGGGTTTGGGTTTCTGGGTTCTGGGTTTAGGGCTTCGGGTTTGGGGTTTTGTGTTTAAGGTTTGTTTAGGGTGTAGATTTGGTTCGGCTTAAGGTTTGAGGTTCGCAAGCTCAGAGGCGCAGCGACTCTACCAGCACGCTGTAACAACTTGTGTACTTAGGCATTGCTTAGAAGTTCATGGGTAGTTGTAAGTGGGGTTAGAAGTCTCCAATATGGGCTATAAGTATAGTTACCCTACTCTACTTATAGCTACCCAAGAACCTCCAAGTACACTCCTTATGCCAGCAAGAGAAGACGATGAAGAACCTATACCCCCCTTAGAACCATAATGAACTAATATCTTTAATATTCTCTTGGGCTTTATATGAAAAAAACAATTCCTAAGGAGACCATAGGAACAGAGACCCGAAGAGCCCAAGATCCCTCGATCAAGGACCATCGCTCAGCCTCGGCCCCCTAATGCAATGGTCTTTACAGGATTTCCGCTTTCTTTAAGGCTTGAGGGCCTTAGCGTTTAGGTTTACCCTAAACCGTAAACCCTAAACCCTAAACCCTAGCCCCTAAACCCAAAAACCCTAAAACCCTAAAACCCCAAATTCTTATAAGGCCTTAACTTCTCAGCCTCAGACTCAGACCCCTACTTGGAGGCTCATGGGACTTTGTAAGTAGGTTACAAAGGGATCTATAGGGGTTCCTTAAAGGGATCTATGGGGTTTAGGGTTTAGGGTCTGCTTAGAGGATCATGGGACTTAATTAGTAGGTAGGTTACAATTGGGGTTATAAGTCCCCTAAGTGGGGTTATCCTAATTATAACCTTACTTACTAAGTCCCATGAGCCTTCAAGTACACTCCAAGAGCCTTAAGCTCCTCAGGTCCTCGCGTTTAGAGCCTCGGCTGCCGAAACGCACCCCGAAACCCTCAGCCTTAAACCTAACACCCAACACCCGAAACCCTGAACCCTAAACCTAACGCCCTAAACCCGGAACCCTGGACCCTCAACCTAACCCGACCCCTGAACCCTAAACCCGACACCATCCGACAAGTTTTGGGGATGTCAAAGCGGGGTGAAGGTCGGTAGGATTGAGGATCCCTTACATGGGAGTTTCCTACCGGGGACCTGATTATGGGGTCCTTATAATAAGGATCCTACTATTTAAGTTACTATATTAGGGTCCCCCATTTTCGGAAACCCTCATGTAATTTTGGCACCTAGCTTCATCTTACTCTCGGAGCCCTTTGAAAACTGCCGCAAGTCCTCGCAAGTCGCGTTAAACTTGGACTTGTTGAGTTCCAGCCAGGACCACCTCTAAGGCCGGAGTGCGAAAAGAGCTTGGGGTTTAGGGTTTAAGGGCCAGGACCACCTCTAAGGTAGGAACCTCAAATCGTCCCTTTGCGGGTTCCTTTGCAGGATCATTGCCAGGGTTCAGGGTTCAGGGCGTAAGAAGGGGCATGTACGATGGGCGTTCGGTTTCGGTGTCAATTACGCTATACGAGCTTGGCGATTGCACTGGGATGCAAGTACTAGTTGATCGCTACATTAGACATGCAGTTTATGGTTTAGGGTGCAGGTGCTCAGCTTCTTCATGGTGGATTTTGCATCCGGTTGGGTAGGATTTGTTCTGTTTCGATACGAGTACTTGGAGGTTCACGGGTAGTTAGAAGTAAGCTCATTATCCTTATGGCCCATATTACGTGACTTCAAACCCACTTATAACTACCCGTTAACCTCCAAGTACTAGGTTCCTTAGGAGCCGCTTTACAAGAAAGGTACCCTTTTTCCTGCAATTGGGTGTTCATAAAGAGGGCCCAAAAAATTGCAAAAGGGTACTACTCAGGAACCTAGACTACGGTTGATGATATAAATCTCTATGACCCCATAATAAGGAATATGCCATAATTCCCATAGTTTAGGGTCATGAAGGTAATGCAGGATTTATATGGGAGTTTCCGAAAATAGGGGACCCTAATATACTACCCCAAAATAGTAGGATCCTTATAAGGACTCTCAAATAAGGTACCCCCCATTCTTGGAAACTCCCATATCATGAACCGTATGTCTGCTGAGCTCGAGAAGGAGGCTTCAGGTTCCAGCGCAGGTTTGCAGGCTTCTGCCTGCCACCTTAGGGTTTAGGCTTTAGGGGTTTAGGCTTTAGGGTTAGGAACCCTAAACCCTAAACCCTAAACCCACCCATAATGACCAATATGGTTAATAGTCTCTTGGGGTTTATCTGTTCAAAAGACTAAGAATACAATTCCTAAGGAAAGAAAAGGCAGAATCGGCTTTCCTTCGGCCGTCATGTACACTCGACTTGGATGATGCATGGATAGAGGAATATCAACTTGCTATATAATCGCTGGGACCCCAGTGTTGGTGTCAATCTTCACGCGTTACCTTAGCCTTAAAAGATATGGATCTTGGTAGGGTTTGGGTTTCAGCAGCGGCGTGTCACAAGGGAAGGGAAGCGATGATGCGTCCAATCATGCACTAACAATCCGCTATAGGCCCTGCATGCCTGAAGCCATGACCCTGACCCCTCAACCTCAAAACCTGCGCCTTATGCAAAACCCCTGAACCCCCGAAGCGCCTACGGCAGCCCTTACAAAAACCCCTTGCAGAAAGCTTTAAACCATGCCTTGCATAAGCCTTTGTGCCCTAAACCCTAAACCCTTTAACCCTAGCTCCGAAGCTCTCTGTAGAACTGTTTGCGACCCAGTTGCTCGATCCAAGATGGAGGCCAAGCGTACCTCAAGCATGCCCTAACGGATTACAAGGTTCCCAGTACACGCCTTTGGGTTTAGGCTTTGGTGGGTTTAGGATTTTGGGGTTTCCCCGCGGCTTGCGGGTTTCGGGTTCTGGGCTTAAGGGTCCTAATGTTGTTGGAGTTTACATGCCAATCTGCTCCTGTGAGCCAGAGCAGTTGCTGGCCACGACTTTCACAACGACAGCAGTTAGAAAAACGACGACGACGAAGACGACGGGGCCTGATATGATAACGCCCATGTAAGATTGGCGGTTAGACGGTACACTTTGACCCCCCAGACCCTGCAACCCCCGAAGTAAGAAACTCGCGACGCAGCTCAAGCTTAATGAACACTGAAAAGCCCAAATCATTTGGTTCCTAAACCCTACGTTAACGCCAAGCCCTGAACCCTGCACCCGAGAGTTCTCCATCTGCCTGCACATTGCGAACCCTAAACCCTCGCCAAACCCCGATTCATGGTTTAGGGCCCTCAGACCCTCAAACTCACAGGCGTCATAGCCTCAAATACTCTTGTTGCTCTGGCCTTAGAGCCAAAACCTGAAGGCGTCCACGCCGTTCTTGAAAAGGGGGTCCATTCTAAGTCGAGGCACCAGCATTTCAGGGCTTTTCCCGCCTCCAAGAGCTGGCTCATCCTGCTTCGCGCGGCGTCAGCTGGACAGAAAGACGCTCAGTCGGAGTAGACCCCTTAAACAGGTTTAGGGTGTAAACACTCAGGGTTGAGGGTTTGAGGGTTTGAGGGCTTGTTTTTGAACCCATTTTCGTCCTAATCCGCTCCATCGCGCCTCAGTCAGGTTTAAGAAAGCAGCGGCAACGCTCCAGGCACAAGGCCTTTGGCTTTGGAGGACCACGCAACTTACTGTAGGTGTCTCAATCATTAAAATAGGGTTTGGGGGGTATATTCGCATACTACAGTTATAATAAGGAACCCCAAAACCCTATTAGAATTACCTTACATTAAACCCCAAGTTTCGAACCCTTCATAAGCTTTAGGAGCTCACCCATGTCGCCAAAGCCCTGACAGGAAACCTTGTAAGAACCCTTATGGAACCCCAAACCTTCGGGTTTAGCATTTAGGGTTTAGGGTTTTTTTGTTGGGGTCTTATGGATTTTTTGAACCTTTCCTAAACCCTTGCAGGAGTCGCATAAGGGAGTTTCCGAAAATAGGGGACCCTAGTGTAATACCCGAAATAGTAGGATCCTTATTAGAAGGGCCCCCAAATAAGGAATCCCTATTCTTCGGAAACTCCCATAAACCCTCAGCCCTCATCAGCCCTCAACCGGGTCAGACTGTCCTCTCGGCATCCTCGAAGGCTAACTGCTTCAGATAGTCCACCAGTGCTGGGACCTGTCCACGCCATAGCCAGGCTCCACGGTTGGAAGTATTGGGCTCCCGATATGGACCCTGATTCCTTCTCGAAAGGGTTCTAGGGACCCTTAAGAGTCTATACAGGGTATATAGTAGGTATATAAGGATCCCAAGGTTAAGGGCCCATGGTTTCAACCATTGACAGGTTGCCCGGCACCCTTGTTCCTATCACTTCAGCTTTATCAGGAGACCCAACGATGGAAGTGGCAAATGGAGTGTTTGAGTTGAGGGTTGAGGGTACGATGACTGGGGTTTCGGATTGACAATCGACCCCACAAGCCCACGCCCTAAACTCGAGACCCGAAACGCTAAAGCGTGAACCCCAAACTCTGCCCTGAAGACCTGCGTCATGGGCCACTTGATGACCGCAGATGGGAGGTCAACAAACTCGCCAAACGGCGGGTCGTAACGATCGTTCAGCAGGACGGGGATGCATCCTCGGTTTAGGGTTTAGGGTTTAGGCTGGGATTTCTACAAAGCATTAGAAGGCTTCTCCTGGGCTTTACAATGTGCTTCTACGGAGGTTTTTATATGCTGGTAAATGGCTTTATTAGGGTTTTATGCGGTGCTGCAGATTTTACACGAGTCGACAGTAGGGGCTTTAGGCTTTCATGATTGGAATAGGACTTTGAAGGTCTAGTTTAGAAGACTTTTCATGGGATACTGTTGCTGATTATCCAGACCAGCTTTACTGGGTGTACAAACCCTAAACCCTAAACCCTATTTAGAGAGTTGTTGAACGCAGGATGTATCCAGAATCTCGTGGTCCCTCCACCTCGACCCAACCTCACAGCCTACTAAGCCACATAGCACCCCTGATAGTAGCCGTTACAGTAGCCCTGAAGCTGCCCCTGCTGGTAACCCATACTAAACCACTTCGTGGTACCCCTCCCACTTCAGGGCAAGCCCAGGCGGGTTCTCGGTAGAGAATGCTGGTTCCACGCTTCGTGGTTTATGGGTTTAGGGTTTAGTTCAGGTTCAGGCTTTCTTGTCTAGCGAGTCGCTCTCGGGGTTCAGCGATGAGGTTTTGTGGTTCAGAGGTTGAGGTTCATGGCTTGAGGTTTTGTAGCTGAGGGATTAGGATGCAAGGTTTGGTAGATAAACTGGACAGATTCCCCAGATCCCCACCAGCACTGAGAACCAGCAGGAAACTCCAAGCTCAAAACTGCAAGTGCCACATCAATGTAGGGTCCAGTATGGTTAGGGTACGTTTTGCTTTGGGGTACTGTGGTATCTATTTAACTAGATGAAGAAAACTCTCTTGGGAACACCATTGCTAACTAGCTAGACCCCTCTTGTATCCCGAACCGAAGTAGGAGTTGGATTAGGGGGACGCTTGGGGAGAAAGAGCCTCTCGATAAGGTCCCTTTTAAGACAGGCACAAGTAGGGTTAAGAAGGGTCCCCTTTAAGGGGTCTCCCTAACATCCCTAATACTGCCTAGCAGAACCAACGTCTTCAAAGGCTCGAGCCCAAAAAAACAAACCCTAAACCTACACCCAAACCCTAAACTAAACTCTAAACCCTACACAATAAAACCCGAAACCCCCTTAACCCTACACCCTAAACCCTTATTTCCTACCCCTACACCCCACGCCCTAAACCCCTAAACCCTACACCCTACACCCTAAACCCTTCTTCAAAGGCTCCAGCAAAGAAGGTCTGAAAGAATCGCGAGGACCATGCGCTTTTGCCGCGGGGGACAAAGCAGAACCTGCCAACGCAGGGCCTTTGGCCCTCCCTTAACCCAGGGTTTAGGGTTTTAGAGTTTAGGGTATTAGGGTATAGGGTTTAGGGGTCTAGGGTTTGGGGTTTAAGGTATAGGGTTTAAGGTTTTAGGGTTTTTTGGGGTTTAAGGTCTAGGGTTTAGGGTATAGGGTTTAAGGGTTTTAAGGTTTAGAGGGGTTTAGGGTTTAGGGGTTTCGGGGTTTAGGGTTTAGGGTCCCTGGCTTACTTGGAGGTTCATGGGTAGTTATAAGGGCTCCTCTAAGGGTCCCTTTAAAGAGTTCCATAGGGGTTCTGTAAGGGTATAGGGTTTAGGACCTACTTGGAGGTTCATGGGTAGTTAGAAGTAGGGTTATAAGTCCCCTCATATGGGTCATAAGTATAGCTACCCTACTTATAGCCCTACTTATAACTACCCATGAACCTCCAAGTAATCCACGAGAACCTACTTTTCCGTAGGGCCCGTTTCAATAAGAACCTACAAAAAACAGGTTTAGGTAGGTTAAGGTAGGGCTTGGGGGGCGTGGGTATCAGAATGCAACGGGGGCTTTATGGTGAGGAGGGCTTTGTGGGTGTATTCAGGTATAGCTATACACGTAGTATCCGGTGTAGATTCAGTGGGTATTCAGACCTCTGCAGTAACCCTTTCGGGATGTCGAGTCTGGGGATGGGCTTCAGGTGTCAGACTTCAACACCTTAGTAGGGCTTGGGGTCCCGAACGACGTTCGGGATCTCCATGACGACCCGAACATGCAGTGGGATCGACAATTGCAGAAACAGTTCTACAGAAAATTATGTCGATGCTCATAGCCAATTATAGCAAGATAGTAATCGCCAGGAGGATGCTCGCAAATACAACAGAAAACAACCGGCAGTGGTCGTTTGACTAATCGTCGTGATCGTCGTCGTCCCCGCCGACCTGGCCGTCCACGCCGCTTCCTCGTCGCCCTCGCCCCCGGCCCCTCACCTCCTCTCCCTACTCCCTCCTTCCTCCTCCCGCCTCCTCCCCCCTCCTCCTCCGCTTCCTGCTCCTCGTGTTCGTCCTCGTGGTCGTCGTCGTGGTGCTGCTGGTGGTGGCGCTCCTACTGCTGCTGCTGCCACAGAGATGGATACATTGGACACCAGGAGCATGAACAGCAACGTCAAGAGTCTTGTGTAGACAAGAAGCAAGGAGCTCGTCAATCCCATGAAGGACTCCACGTAGGGCACATCGACATCCACGTGGAACAACGGCTCCTTCTCCTCACACGATGTCACACGTCAACCCAAGTGTTTGGCATCACGAACCCAAATGCTGAACCCTAAACACCACAATCCTCAAGCCTACACCCTCAAACGCGAAGACCTGGAAAGCCACAAGCATCCACCTCCGCGGCTTTTAAGACTTCGAGCTTCAATGTTCGTGAGTTTTTGGCCTGAAACGAAACCCGATGTCGGGCTCAGTCAGGGCTTCCGGGTTAGGACCGTCAGGAATTGTTTAAGTTCCATGGCTACCTGACCTATGGTGTGGGCAACCAACAAACCCCCAAAGCCGAAGCCTAAATCCCTACACGCTAAGCTTCAAAAGCCTAAACAGCTAAACCCCAAAACACGACTGTAGCCTAAAACCCAGCGCGACTTTCATTCCAGAGCCCGTAAAGAAGCCTACTTGTCGGGGATCATTGGGAACTGAAGGGATTATATAGGGATAGTACTACCCAAAAAAGGTTAAAGGTTACCTACTCTACCACTAGGAAAGCCTTCCAACCAAGCCCGACCTTCAGTGCCAGGAGCACGGAGCGGACGTTCAGAGAGCAGCTGCTGTCTTTGCAGGTCTCCGGAGGAAGCACCGAAGGGTGCGGAGGCCTCTGGTGATTCCAAAGCGCCACCAAAAAAGGAGTGCTTCGGGTTTTTGGCTTTCGAGTTCAGGGCTTGTTTAAGTGCGGAGAGTTTAGAGTTGGAGGTTTAGGCTTTGGAGTTAGGAGTTCGAGTCTTCGCGGTTAGAGTTATTGATATGGATCTCTTTGGGAAGTGAAAAGAAGTGAGAGCCAAAGGTTCTCAAACCAAGTCTTTTAATGTAGGGGACTTAAGATATCCTAGTAGATTCATGGAGCATGGAATAATATGAGTACTGTCCCGGGGTCTGCAAGGGAATAATTCCGACCCCTATAGTTTCAAAAAGGGGCTTTGAAGAGGCTAGGGCTGAGCTTATTAGCTACTATCCTGTTTTTGCAGAGGGTTTCGGCGCGTTCTCAAGGGTTTTTTCTTACCTTTGGTTAGTACGGAATGGAGGAATGGGGTACAATTCTAACGACTATTACTACCATTCTTCCATTCCCTGCTAACCACAGGTAAGTCTTTTTTGAACGTTTAATCAACCAGGTCTCCGATGTGGGTCTTCGGGGGCAGCGAGCTTTGGATGTTGCTTTGATGTTCGGAAGTAAACTTTAAGGCGATACGGTTTAGGCTTATAGGGTTCAGGGTATAGGGTTTCCCTGCGAATGCGGGATTTAGGTTGAATGATGTATGGTAAACCCCATAAAGTTGGAAACCGGATTAAGGCCAAATAGGGCTGGGATTAGCTATACATTACTCTTAAGGATTGAGGCTATTGGGTTTCCAAACTTCTGGGCTTCTGCTGTAGGTCGAGACCAAGCTGACATCGGCGATGGCGATTACGATCACAAAGATGGTGGCGATGACGAACGCGATAACATTGAGGGCGACTGCACGGACGATCACGAGAATCAGGAGGGTTTAGGGTTGAGGGCATAGAGTTTAGGGGTTAGGGTTGAGGGTGTTGGCTTTTGGGTTTAACCATCTGTAGTCGGATTCTCATGGTAGGGATCATTGTAAAGGTGCTTCTCGTTTTCTGACGAATCCGAGCTTCCTTGGCCAGCCAATGAAGTGGCCCAAGTTGTCACGCTCGTCCATGGGCCGGGCGAGTTTCCTTCCGAGTGTCGGGTAGTCAGGCTGTTATCGGTATATAGTTCTGGACTTTCGGTTCAGGATTTAGGGCTTCGGGCTGTCGGTTTAAGGCTTTGGTTTCGGGTTCCGGTTTAGGTGTTTGGCTTTTGGGTGCAGGGCTTTTTGGGTTTGGGGTTGAGGAATTTGGTTAGAGGTCATGCCAGAGATGAAGTGACAAAAAGAACGGTAGCACAAATCAGATAGCCGATACTGAGAACGGCTGCAGGAAACTGGAGAGAATCACAATGAATACAACGGTAACAGCCACGACAACAATCAACCCCTAAACACTAAACCCTGAACCCCTAAACCCCTTAACCCTAAACCCTAAGCCCAATGACTCTCCCAATGCTTTGAGGCTCCCAAGGGAGATCATATCATCCACAGTAAGGCGGCCCGGTACGAGGATGTCTTTGTACCTTAGCGTTTTGGGCTTAGGGCATAAGGTCAAGCAGTTGAGTCTAAGGCTCAGAATCTACTGTTACGGGGCTTCAAAGTGTTAGGGTGTTTGGGTTTTGGGGGTTTTGGGTCTGGGGGTTCAGGATTTATAGGGGTTAGAGTTTAAAGCTTTGGTTGGACTTGGTACATCTGGGCTGTCGGGTCGGGGTTCTAGGGTTACGAGCTTCAAAGGTACCCCTGATATAGAAAAAGCCTGCCTCGCTGCCCCCTAAGGTTGCAAGTTGGTTCTAGTACACTATACGAGAACGCTACTCTAAATAAGAAGGGTGCTAACATTTCATAATGGTCTTGTTTCTGGCCTCATTGCTCCCTCTATGGGACCTCTACTGAAAGAGCACTAAGAATCGTACCGCGTGAAGGACGGCTCCACGACGTCCTGCTTCGTTTGCGGCTTTTTGTTTGAGGGTCTGGGGTGCTGGGGTTTTGAGGGTCCAGCGGTTGGGACACGGTGTTGAAACCCTCAGCGCAAAGACTTCCGGTTGGAGTTCGGACTTAGAAGCTAGAACTCTAGTGGAAAGGGCTTCATAGGGTTTAGAATCGTTTGGTCTGTGTCGGATATTGGGGCTGTCGGGACTGTATTCACAGTGTTGGGGACTATAGTTATACATGGGCTTATGAGTCCCCTAATATGGGTTATAAGTTATAAGTATAGCTACCCGACTTACAACCCGACCTACCATGAACCTCCAAGCAGGCCCTAAACCCTACACCCTTAGAGAATCCCTGTGGATCCCTTTAAAGGGACCCTTAAATGAACCCTTATCACTACCCATGAACCTCAAAGTAATGGAGTGTCCACTCCTATATCGGCATAAGGCTCAACTTGGGAGTTGAGGGTGCGGGCTATGGGTCGTAAGTCTTCATAGGGTTTTGGGGGTTTCCTTTAAAGGGTTCTCTTTAAAGGGGTCCTTGAAAGGGTTCTGAAAGCGGACTATAGTAGGGTTCTATTCTGTAACGTAGGGGCCGAAATAATTAGATTAGGGCTTTGGGGCACATTATACGACAATCATAGTAGGGAACCCCAAAAACAATGTAGGTAATTATTAGGCCCCTATATTAGATGGCAGATCCTTGTAGGGGTTCCAGAGCTCTGTCTCCGTCATCATGAAGATGGCGTTGGGCACCCACTTCCTCCACGTGGCGAAGGGCCCATCGGCACCCATGCCCGAGCCCCACACGAAGAGGTGGTTCTGTCCTGGGCGCTGAGACTTGATGGAGCTGCGGAGATTTCATGGAATTTCTGATCTGCTTTCGCTTTCAGGGCTTAGGGATTGAGGGGGCTTAGGTTTGGGGGCTCCGGGCCGCTTCAAAACCCCCCAACCTAGAGCCGAAACCCTAAACCCTGAACCCAAAACCCTAAAGCCCTAAACCCGAAAGCAAAGACTCTAAACCTTAAACCCCTAAAGCGCTAAACTTTAAACCCCTCAACCCTAAAGCCCGAACAACTCTACACCACTAGAGAGCTTCAGCACAGCGTCCACCCTCCATCTGCAGGTAGGAGCCCGAAGAGCTCAGCACCTGCTCAGGTTCTACCACTCTCCGGGTCTCAGAGCCACGGCTGAAAGGCTTAGGGTTTAGGGTTTGGGGTTTAGGTTTAAGGTTTAGGGTTTAGGTTTGGGGTTCAGGGGTTTAGGGGTTTAGGGGTTTAGGGTTTGGGATTTAGGTCTAAGGGTTTAGCAGTTTAGCGTTTGGGGTTTCGGGTTTAAGGGTTTAAGGGTTTAGGGTAGGGTTGAGGGGAATGTGGGATGGGGATCCTTAGGGCACCAAGCAGCACATAAGCAAGAATTAGGATAGAGATATCCCATATAAACCCTACTACAATGAAGCCCAACAAGGTAGGGATATCCCTGTAAAACGCATATGCTTATGTTGTTCTTTGGGTCCCCCTGCGGTCCGTTTGAGTAGTTAGTCATCCCTATAACCCATTCCCCCATTCCCTAATGTAGGACACTGATTAAGAAACCCAAAATAGTAGGATTCATATAAGGAACCCTAATAGAGGCCCAAGGTTTCTTACTCAGGCTCCCACATTACTAAGAATCTTGAGCTGTGGGAATACCGAAATCTAAGGCAAGGCTCATGTCTTCCATCTCAAGGTATGCCTACAGCTCGGGAGATTCGCAGGGAAGGGTCCCTTCGCGGTCATGTACAAACATGTGCCTGCGTGCGTCGCTATGTGTGTGTGTGTGTGTCCATATGGAGCCCTATACCCTGAACCTTCCGCCCTAAATCCTGAACCCTAGAGCTATGAACCTTGAAGAACCTGCACAAAGCCCTAACAACCTAACCCTTAACCGTAAACCCCGTAGAAACCCTGTCAAGCCCTGAGAAACCACTCCACCCCCAGACCAAGCCTCTTCAAAGAGCTGCGTGGTGGGACCGCAGAGCTGCTTGGTGTCGCAGCCTTTCCCAGCGTTTAGGTGCTAGAGCTGCTAAGGGGTTCAAAGTATAGGGTGGTGGGTTTGGATTTTAATGCTAGGGTCTAGAGTGTTGGGCTTCGGATATTGGGCTAGGGCTTGAGATCAAGACTTAGAGTTGTGGGCTTTGGGTTATGTAAACGATTGACGATAAGGGTACGAGGATTGCAAGCCCTTTCATGAAGCGATGATCCTGAAAAGTATGGAACGATCCTTCTAGTGTGGAGGATATATTGATGACTTCCGGGGCACTGGGCTTTCTAGGAATGGTGGCTTTGTAACTTCAGTCGGCAGCTTGGGCTGCAGGGCTCTGGCTGCAAATCGTTGCATCAAGGGCTCAATACACGGGGGTTGAAGCAGCGCAACTCTACATCCAAATCCCTAAAAGCTAACCCCCCCCTCGAAACCTGAAGACCAGAAGCTCGACCCGAAAAGCCTGAAACTGAAACCCAAGCCCTAGTGTCAAGACGCAAACTGCAAAACGGCCACCGAGTGCAGGGTTCAAGACTGGTTGGGGCACCCAGAACCCCCTTCGTCACTCGAGGTCTCCAGTAGAATTCGGCTTCGCGGTGTAAGTGCTGCTGGTCTGCTTTATGAACCTAAGCGGGATGCTAGTGCCAAGAATTATGCCAACCTAACTGTCTGACTAATATGGGGGCCTTAATGATTAGAACAAGGTTTTGGGTCCCATGATGTTAAAATTATTGGGGCCCCGACATTGCAGACCTTCCAACACTGGCCTTCGAAGGTATCCGCGTGGTTGATGAGGCAAGAAGTGTAGTGCGGGACGAAGAAGAAGTCAGCCTCCTGAGGTACAAGCTGCGTTTTAGGGTTTACTGTTTGGTTTAAACTTGAAGGTTCTTTTGAGCGAAACCCTAAACCCTAAACCCCAAAGCCTAAACCCTAAACCCCAAACTGAACCGCTCCTTTTCACAGCCTTTCATGCTGTCTGACAAACGATGGCCATGACACCAGAAGAGGCGGGACAGACAGCCCGACTCCAGCCTTGCAGCCCTCGAAAACATCACGAACCCTCTATACCCCCCTTAGAACCATAATAAAAATAGTATTGTTACTATTCTCTTGGGTTTTATATGAACAAAAACTATAAATAGAAGATCCTAAAGAGACTATAGCCCTCAGCACCGTCTGGCATGCAGAAACTTCGGGCTGGGTTTTACTTTGCCGCGTAGGGTTCGCGGTGTTCGTTGCATAGGGTCGCGCAGGGCTCTCCAGGCTGAAACCGAGGATGGCGAAGCTCTACAGGGCTTAGGGGATTTTTAGGGTTTAGGGTTTAGGGTTTAGGGCTTCCTTTGGGGATGTTTGTATTCCTTGCGGGGTTCAAAATTCAGGTTGTAGGGCTCAGCTTGGGATGCTGAAGTTGCTTTACAGTAGCTATGAGCTGCGGCCCTAAACCCAAAAAGAAAAAACCCTCAAGCCCTCAACCTTACACCGTACCGTGAAGCCATACACCCTAAACAGAGCTACCACGTGAATCGGCCTACCACCCCCCCCCTATAAAAGATGTCTTTTTGGTCCTTGGGGTTGTCCGTCCGGCAGGGGCATGCCAGGAACCAGTCGTGAAGTGCAACTTCCATTCCCCACTGGTTGTGCTTGCAGAAAGAGCCGCCTCTGGTGAGAGTCCTTCGCAAAGGGTAACTGGGCTTTGTTCGTTTACTTTAAGGAACTTCAGTGGTAAGGAAAGTATAGTCCGTCCCTACTACGTCTTCCGATTATTGTGACAACTCAAGAAAAGCACACATGCAAGATCCCAGTTGAAAGTTTTAGAGGTAGAGCGACAGCTTCAGGGAAGAGTGTTTGACCTTTAGCCGAGTGTTTCTGGAGAGGGGGCTTGGCTAGGTAGCATCAAACATCCGACATCCACATGCCTCGAAGCCCTAGGTGGAATCTTGTGTCAGACTATTGATAAGTATCTCTATTCCGAATTCTCTCCGTCTGCTTCTCTCTGGCGGTTCTCGGCCTACTTCCAAACACGGTGCTCATAAAATGCGTCAACCTCAAAGTAGCCAGGGTCCTACACCCTAACACAAAACCCCGGAAACCAGGCCCCTGTGTCCTCAAGGCAGGCAGTGTATCCGGATCATAGACCTGTAAGCAAGGTTTGCGGGTTTAGGGTTCAGGGTTTTGGGTTTAGGGTTTAGGGTTGAGGGTTTTGGGTTCAGGGTTGTGGGTTTTGGGTTTAGGGTTTAGGGTTCAGGGTTTAGGGTTTAGGCTTCAGGGTTTTGGGTTCAGGGCTTGGGGTTTACAGGTTGCAGTGGAAGCATCCAGGCAGTGGAGGCATCAGCTCGGGGTTCAGGAAAGAGTATCAATGGGCCTTCTCATAGTGCATCCCTCCCTTATCACGTTCGCCCTTGGGGTGTGAAGTCCAGAAAAGTGCGGGTAACCCGAACATAAACCGCGGATAGCATCATAACCCTCAACTCTGAACCATAAACCCTCAACCCTCAACTCTAAACCCTAAACTTCAAACCCTGAAACCTCAACCACCACAAACTCTCAACCCTAGACCCTAAATCTGCCCCAAGCGGCATAGACCCGGAAGCTCGGTCGCGGAGCTCCCGGCATGGCGGCACCAAAAGGCTCCTTCAGGGTTCAGGGCTTGGGGGTTTAGGGCTTAGGGTTCAGGGCTTGGGGGTTTAGGGCTTAGGGCTTAGGGTTCAGGGCTTGGGGGTTTAGGGTTTAGGGTTTAGTTTAGGGTTCAGGGGCTTGGAAATTTAGGGCGTATGGCTTACCGACAAGCTAGGCTTTCGGCTTCAGGTTCTAGTGTTGAAACAAGGGTCTCGTTTAAGGTTCCATAAAGGCTCTGTTAGGGTCTTTAACAGGCCAATTTGGGGTTTGGGTGTTTTAAGGCAGGTTTTTGAATTACGGGGCTTCGCGTTTGGTGTAAGGCTTCATCGTGTCAAGGCTCGCCTGGCATGGTTTGGGAGTTCATTCGCAGCCACCCAAATCCGCCAAACTGTTCCAAAACCTTGACCCCCGAATTCCCGAATCGCCCAAACCCGAAAGTCCCGAATTCCAAAGCTCAGAATCTCTAGCGCCGGGAATCCAAAGAGCCCAATACCCGTCAATTCAGCCATATATCTTAGACCATACCAATAACCAAGAACCCTTTAGACTTCAAAGCATACTCCTTCACGAAGCTTGTGAGCATGTTTTGGTCTTTTCAATCGATATGAAACCCTTTATGGCCTCAGGTATCCTCTTTCCCCTAAACCCTAAACCCTAAGACCTCGTGCACTCCTCCAGCCGACTGCCGGGCGCTGGCCTGACTCTAGACGAAATGCCCCCGTGAGAAACCCACTTGCCGGAGGGGTTTCGAGGCTTACGGGGTTCGGACGGTTCAGGCTCAAAACTCTTTAGCAGAAACCCTCAAACCGAACAAAAACGAAACTCTGCCACAAGTAAACCCTGAACCCTAAGTCTACAGACTTCCTGGCCTCGGATCTTGTCACTACCCCCTCTTCTAGACAGCATGCACTTTAATCATGATGGGACGCCCGATATACTTGACGAGACAAATTCCGCTCTTTAATGCGATCCTGATAAAGAAGGCCTGGAAACTTCATTGGTTTAGTTTCTTAATAAGGAGGGAAATCGACTTGACGCTCTATTCCTTCATTGGGCGCTATGTGGGTGGGTTCTCCGTGAGCTCTCAACCTCGCATCCTTTGATAGCCAACGACGGACTTTCATTGAGCGTCCACCAGAAATCAATCCTAAACCCCGCCTCAACTCATAACCTATCCTTTCAGGATTCCCTCGGATGATTTCCATAGACAAATCCTTAAACAGGTATCAAGATAGACCCTGAACAGCTGCGTCAAAACAACGGGCTTCTAGAAAATAACACAAACCCTTCGACTGGAAGTTCTACAAATCCGCAACCTGAGGCTGGAAAGCCTAAAGCTTTACAATCGAGCCTACAACCACGAAAATAAACCAACCTTGAAACCACGAGACTTTGAGACCCAGATCACACCCCAAAAGCCTTCAACTCGAAATCTTATGGAAGCCTTGGATCACCAATGATAATTGTATACTCCTTCATACCCACTGTGCCCTTGTAGAACCCCCATAGCACCCATCTTCTGTCCCTGCAACGTCCCGAATAGAACCCTGCAGCTTCCCTTGTTCCCCTTGAACTATAGCATCCAGAGCCCTCTGGCTGCAGCCGCGTAACCCAGCGCCGCCTGGTTGCCAGGCGCCCCAGACCTGAATCCGAAGTTGGGGCGTTGGGGGCACTGAAGCTTCCAACCCTGAACCCTCCCAAGCCCTCCGAAACTTAGGGTTTAGGGTTTAGGGTTTCCTAAACTGTCCCTCCTAAACCCTTGTAGATGCTCGCACCCGCGTTTCGTTAACCCTACGCCCTCTCCTAGACCCTCCTAGCCCTCGACCCTCAAGACTCCTTCGCCCTCCCAGACCCTCCCAACCTCCGAGACCCTCCTTGTCCAGACACCCTCGGAGCCTAAACCGCAGACCCTCACCCCTAAGTCAGGTTGAAAGCCCAAACGGCTTATCGGCTTAGGAGCTTGGGCTGTTCTTGAGTGTAGGGGTTCTTGAGCTATGGGGTTTAAGCGTTCAGGCTTGTTCCAAACTGAACCCTACCCGCACCAGCCGAGCCTTAGCCCAGTCCTCGTCGTGAAGGCCGAAGGCACCTCAGCCAAACTTACAGCAGAGGACGACGTAGTTCGGGTAAAGCGCCGATGTATGCTGTGGGCAAAAACCAGATCCAGGCCTCCACATTGGAACAGTGTTTTGGGTAACAGTTAGGGGATATGGGGGCCACATGGGAATTCATTACTATGAGTGCTTATGGGTTTACCTTAGAGGGCTGAAGGTTCAGGCGGCTACGAAACTCAAACCTGAATCCAAAGCCCCCAAACCCGAACCTTGCGATGCGAGGAGCTTTTGAAGCGCCGGCGACGGTCCGGGCCACCATGGCCGCCCCCTACGGAAGCGCGGAGGAGCGCCCGCCTGCAAAACTGGAAAACGAAGCTTTGCGGCTCATGTATGGTGCATTGGGTTGTAGCATCATCATAGACCGTTGCACGAAAGGTCATGCGCCAGAGAACTCTGGCCCTGGACGTAGTCTTCTCAGAAGGATAACTGGAACTGAATGGTCATTGAAACCAAAACACCCCGCAAGAACAAGAGGTAGTGCACGGATACCCCAACCGGCGGGCCAGATTCTCAAGCTGTAAAGCCTTGCACCCGAACAGCAAGGCCTAAATTCTCGGCCCATGCTTTCATCGTTCGAGTCCCCCGACTTCTCTAGCCAAAAAAGGCCCATAAGCAAAATTTTAAAACCCCTTATGACGAAGGCCAATAAGGCAGGGATGTCCCTATAAAATGCTTATGCTTATGTCCTTTTGGGGTCCCTAACTCTCGATGCCTCAAGCTGTCCAGCATGTCCGCGGTGACCGGCCACGTTTTTCCTTAGGAGCTTCCAGCTTGCATGTTCGGATGGGACATCAGGGCGTCAGAGGGCCATGCCTCCACCGGCATACAATGATGAGAGTAGCAATGGTAAGCATAGCAGAAACAAGGACATATTTTTAGCTTTAACATGAGTAATTAATAGTAATGACCAATAAAGGCAATTGGCAGTCTCATAGTTTGTACGGAGCCGGATAATGATGACAGCTGTGACTCGCTGACAGTCACACGTCTCGGCCCGATGCTGCTATCGAAATGCCACACACTGCATAGTTGGCGTTCTGAGGCAGGGGAACATGGTCTACGCGCAAGTGGCATCTGATGATCATTCGAGTATCTGATACCCTGGTACCCTAGTCTAACTTCCTACGAAAGATGGGATCGGAGGGCGGATCCTTACTCAATCCCTTGTGCTTGAACCCTCTTTTCGACTCCTATGATGGTCCCACACCCTAGACCCTCAACCCCTTGATGGTGGACGGGGGGAAAAGGGGACTGAGGCAGTGTCCGTAGCCGGCAGCCTTGTCGAAGAGGTCAGGATGGAGGGCGCCTCGCGCTTTAGACTTGGAAGGTTTATGGATTAAGGAAGGCTTGAGGTTTCAGTATGCAGACCCCCAAGGCCGAATAGGTTTAATACCGGTCCAATTATCCAGGCACAGAATTATAGATGTTCCGGTATCAGGGGCCTACATTGCTCTACCCCTAAACCCAAGGAACCTTAAACACCCAACCCCCAGACCCTTGGCCCGGGTTGTGCCTGGAGCCGTTAATTAAGTCTTACACAACAAGCGATCTAGTGCGGTTTGTTTGTTGAGCGCCTTTATCCTGCCGCCCTTGAGGTTAGACGGAATCCACCGTTTGTAATTCTAGAACTTAGAGTCAGGGTTCAGGGTTGTACGGTCTTGCTGGGGTGCATCCTTCTCGAAGTAGGCGTGCGACTCTGAACCCTGCTACCCTACTGCAAGCCGGATGAAAGGAAAGCAACTCGAAAAGGGGATAAGAACCGAGGGCGAAGTTGGAGATCTCAGATTCAAGGCACTGTGCACTAATTGTGTCAGTTTCAATGGTACTAACTAATACCGATAATACCCATCATACCAATAATCCCAATAAGACCAATAACTAATAATGATACCAATACTACCCATCGTATTAATAATACCAGTCAGAATAATTATATAAAAAAATACATTCATCGAAAACCGCCAGTCCCGAAACCCGAAGCACGGGGCCTGTGATCTCCATTGGGTTTAGAGTTTAGGGCTTAAGGTTCCATGCTTCGCAACTCTTAGGTGCCAGCGTTGGTTTTGCTTTTAGGGAGGGTTTGAAAGGGTTTCGCGGATCCTCCAAGATGGTTCCATGCTTGTGGATGTTTGGCTGGCGTTTTGAACGTGGGACCTGCCTCTACACACTGAAACCCTTCACTGCGAAATGGGAACCCTCGGAAAAGCACCGTACTTCGAGCACGAAGATCGGACTGCACGTCCTGTACTTCCGCTACAGGCGCAGCAGCAGAAGGCCTGTCGAGCTCTGAAGACGCGAACACCAAACCTAAAGGCTAAACCCTGAGACCGTAAAACTTCAATCCACAGCCCCGAAACCCTGAAACTTAGACCCGAAATCCTGTACCCGAAAAACTCTGAAGCCGTTAAACTCCTATATTCCGCTTACAGCTTTGTAAAACCCTACTAGAAGCCGAGTAAACAACGTGAAACCCGAAACGCAAGGGCTCCTGAATGCTCATCCATCATCCGGAAAGCTTCCGCAGCTGCCTCCACACCTAGACGAAACAGGAGTATTGTAGGATTACTAGAAGGGCTCCTAGAAGGTTGCTGTGAGGGTTGCTCTAGGCGTTACGCAAAGGGTGACTATAAGGGTTGCTATCACCGAGGGTGTCCGGGCATGGGGTTCAGGGTTGAAGGGCTAAACCTTTAGGGTTAAGGGCTTGAGGGTTGTAAGGCTGTTTGCGGTTTAGGCTTATTGGAGTCATGAAAAGAAGGAGAACTGCTGCCACGCCCAAACCCGAACCATCGGTAGCACAGTCCACACTAGCTAGTGTTATATAGGTTTGTACGTCAACAGGTTTGCATGTATGTACAAATCCTGACATATTTCTCTGTCCAAGACTGTGTCTTGTCTGCACCCACATCCACCTGCAATGTCTATCTGTCTGTCTATCTGTCTATCTACGTGTGATCCAGCTATCTACCTATCAGTCTATCTTTCCAGTATCTGTCTATTTGTCTATCTATCTGGGTGTGTATGCGTCCACAGCAGCTTTGGGTGTGTATGCGTCCACAGCAGCTTTAAGGTTTAAGTCATACTGTTGATGGACGAAATCCTGCATGACCCATTATAAGGAATATGCCATAATTCCCATAGTTTAGAGTCCTAAGGGTCATGCAGGATTTTGTCCATCAACAGTAACACAAAGCTTGGATCCTTCCAGGAAGGAAGGTCCTCCAGTCGGGATCCTGAGCCCCCCGGCTGCCCACTTCGTGCAGGAGCATGTGGGCGAAGTAATACTGCATGCACACCTGGGCTCCGAAATATAAGATAGGGAAACTTTAGGGCTGTTAGGGTTTGGGGTTTTGGAGTTTGAGGGTTGTAAGGTTTTTAAGGCCTCGGGTATGGGGTTTTTTACGGCTTCTGGTTTAGCACTTAGTTTTCGAGTTTATGCGGTATGCCAACATGTTCAAAACTGAACCGGCACTGGAACTTCACGTGCGAAGCGAGCAGATAGAATAAGTCATCGAGTTTCATTGCATGGTCGCATCTAACCCCGAGACTTCTTGGCCCTATCATGCACCATGGCGCTGCGTCCTTTTAGGTTGATGCAGGAGCACTGAAGCAAACTAGTCAGCCAAGATGAACGACACTGCTTCTCATGGAACCGGATATTCAGTGAGAGAACCAACAAAGACGTCGAATGTCTAGAGTTCCCGGCTTTGCAACGCAGATGATCGGAGGCCTGCTGATCCTGGTCTCACGTTGAGTGCTCTGGGTCGCTTTGGATTTTTCCATGGAGCTCCCTGCGTCTTGTGAGGCTGAGTGGCGGACACCAACGCGCCCATCAACCTATAGAAATTAAAAATCTACAGAACTCTTTCCAGGCTTCGCTGCCGCATTCGCGAGGAGGCGGCCGTGCTACATCATTTGGCAGCCATTATCCTCGCAAATGCCTCGATGGGAATTGACCTCGAGCTCGGCACTGTTTCAGACGCTCTTGCTCCTCTTTGCTCTCTTGGGTTGCTCGCTCAGTCGTTGCAATTTGCAACTTAAAATCTTGACTCTTCACCCTCTTCACATCGGCCCGTTTGAGCTGGACGTCCACGTCGGCCTGTATGAACTGGATGTTCGTGTCCTTCTCCTTCTGATTGCGGTCCAAATTCACCATTGTCCACGCTGCAATGGTAAAACACCAAGCAAAGATGAAAGCCAGGACAATCAGCGTCACGTAGGGGGCAAGCTTTGAGAACACTTCGCCGGCCCTCGCGCCGAAAAGCACCCGACCTGCTACCGCAAAAGCAATCACTGTCACAGGCAAGCTAGCAAGGACCGCGAGATGTTGCTGCGGTGGCGCCCCCTAAATTGCGCACATGGCATTGGCAATGGAACGAGGCCACAACTGTCGAGCAGTGTAGTCGCCATTGCTGCCATTGCTGATGCGCAAAACATCCAAGGCAATACAGATTTGGTGCAAAGCTTGAACCTCATTCAGCGGTGGGATGTTTCGAAAGGTTTGGGGGTACGTTGGATACATCCGTTGCGGCGCCAAACCATGCATAGCATCTTCCAACTTTAATACGACTACGACTGATCCCCTGTTGCCAGCCTCTTGCGTCTGACTATTCAGAAAATGGTTGCAGGGGGGAATAATATGGATGGTTGTCAAAATTATGATCCCTTTTTGGGTACCCTAAACATTAGGTGCCGTACTATGTTAGGGACCCAAAAAAGGGCCCATAATTTTGAGAACCACCCATATACCACACGAAAGTCACGATCCGGGGGATCCGCAAGGAATAATATTTGTAACTGCTCCGACCCCCATGTCGGAATCCAGCTTCAAAGCTACTCTCCGAGCACGGCAGCACTGTGTTATTGGCACAAGGGCACAGGTGCCGAAAACGGCAGCGTGCTGCTGACGAGCATACTCCGGCAACACCTGAAGTACCCTAAACTATAGGAACAATGGTATATGCCCTAGTATGGGTAATGCAGGTCTCTGTCCATCAGTCGTAACATCGAACTCCAGAACAAGGCACCAGCCCGAGCAAACAGATCTTTGACTGCTCATCGACTTTGGTGACATTTTCCTGAGCACCGCCAGGGTAGCAGGATGCACAAGCGCCAGCCCCCAACTCCCAAAACATGTGAACCCTAAACCACAAAACCCTCCAGAACACCCATAGAGCTCCACGGTCATCCAAGTCCACAGGCGCAAGCCCCAGAATCTGTATATGGCGGAGGGTCTAGATGCCAAACCCTCAGGTTCAGAGACAGCCTGATAGTTTTCTACAGCAAACCTACAAGCTTAACGTCCACAGAGCCCTACCCTAGACCCTCAACCCGCTCGGAACCCTTGTAACCTTGCAATCTCGAGTCCCGCCAAGCGTCCAACCCCCACTCCTGAGTTGGCAGGATGTCATGGGGAAGCGATGTTAAGTTCCGGGTTTGGGATTTGTTCTGGCAGTTTTTTTGTAGTGCCATCATAGGCCTGGGCTCAGGGCTTAGTGTTTGGAGTTGCACTCAAGATTCGGGGTTTGCTCTGAGGGTCGATATCACCGTAGGGTTTAGGGTTTAGGGTAGTTCTTGCTACGACTGCTTTCGAAAATCTCGCCACTCCTGTGGTATGAATGTACTGATGCTGAGGATGCCAAGACAAGGCTATACCAATCCCGGCTTTCCATAAGACTTTCACAAGTGCTGCATGGGTGGTTTGAAGAGGGGTGCTGCTGGGGGATGATGATCTATTCCTCTGTGCTTTCTCTAGCTAATACTAAAACTTGAGCCAAAAAACCCTTTTAAAGCCCCGTGTGAAAATCCAAGCAAATGCCTTGTCAAGCCCTGGCACACAAATCTTCACGCACTACCCGTATACTTCCCTACTGAAACCAACATGGCCTGAACCCCAAGCCGTGAACCCTCTAGGTGTCACGTCTCCCCGGCCAAGCATTCAAGCAGCCATCATCCTCTCGTAAGCCAGTTCGACACCTGAGTCGCGATGAAGCAGGAGACTCCGAAAAGCCCTCAATTTGCGGAATACTTGGCGGTTCATGGGTAGTTATAAGTGGGGTTATAAGTAGGGTAACTATACTTATACCCCATATTAGGGGGGACTTATAACCTCACTGATAACTACCCCTGAACCTCCAGGCAAACTATGGGACCCCAGCGTAAAGTCGCCTATGGTTTTGGGAATCGTTTCATCCGTGAAGCAAGAACTCCCTTAAAGCAATAACTCTACACTGCCGACCGAGACCCGAAAGAAATTGCAGAATGTCAGGACCCAAAGAATAACTAAACCGGCGTCCTAGTATAATTTAGAAGAAGGTCTCTTAATAAGGAGACACTAACAGCTTTAGCCCCAAGCCCCTCCATGATCAACCCGAATCTGTAAACCGAAACCCCAAAGCCCCAAACCCTAAGCCCGAAACCCGGACCACGAAACCTCAAATCCCGAGCTCTAAACCCAAAACCCCAACATTTGGCCCAGCCACGCATGTCCTCTTCAGTCTCCAGCAGCTGAACTCGAAAGGGTCCCCACTCGGGGCTTCGGTTGCACTCCTAAGGGGCGAAGGGCATGGAGGGTGTCGAGATGCAGAGGCTTACATAGAGGCTTAGATGGCATTGACATCAGGTAGAGGGGCTTAAGCATTGGTGTTTTGCGTTTAAAGTTTCGGGGTGTTGGGCTGAAGGTTTCGGTCTCTTGCTACTGAGTGCGCTGTTTCAACCGCATGACCAGTTGGCCTAGGCGAGTCTTAAGATGTGTAATGCTGAGTGACTATCTCGGCTACTATCTTACTGCCGTTGCCATTGCTGCAGATCATAACCCTATACCTATATACGTGGACCGCAATTCAAGACGAAGGGCCGCATCTTCCTCGATATTGTTCTGATACGCCTTTCGCTGGAAGACCTCGTGAAGCTCGAGGTCAGAGGAACAGATTCAGAGTTGATGCTTCAGGCTTGAAGCTTGCTCAATGACTGAAGGTTTCGACATGGTCGTGGGTCGGGCGGGCATCGCATGGCTGGAGATATGACAACGGAAGCGTCTGGATCTCCCAATTCGAGAATACATCTAGGGTTGAGGGCTTTGAGGGTTTCGGGTCAAGGCTTAGGGTTTAGGGTTTAGGGCTGTGGATAGCTGCTGGGTTGAGGGTAAGCCTAATTATAGCTGCAGCATCTCTGAGCACAGCAACCACGAACCCTCAAGTAGGGCGAAGCTTTCTTTGCATTCGGTCTAGGATTTCAGAACCCTTGACCGTGCTCGGGGCCAAAATGGATTTGCAAACTATCGAATGGGCCACTTAAACATGCACAAAATCTCGTCTTCACCCCCGAGCCCACGAATCCTGAAACCCGAAGACCTGAATCCTAAACCCTAAACTCTAAACCGGAACTGAGATGTTCTGACGGACCCCGAGCCTCGAAGTAACTCTAAAAACTCTAAGCCCATGTCTCACGTCCCTTGCAGCCCACTGGCCGGGTCATCTTGCAGAGTCTTCCTGCAGAGATACTTCGATGATCCGGGTCCGTCGGAACATCTCAGTTCCGGTTTAAGGTTTTCTGGCTTTTGGGTTTTAGGATTTTAGGGTTCTAGGGTTTAGGGTTTAGGGTTTTAGGGTTTTTGGGTTTAGGGTTTTAGGGTTTAGGGTTTAGGGTTTTAGGGCTAGGGTTTTAGGGTGTAGGGTTTTAGGGTTTAGGGTTTAGAGTGTCCAGGCACCTAGGATCAAGACAGACCCGAATTTACAAGGGATTTAGATGACTCGAATCAGAAGGAACGAGCAAGTGCCACCATGATCATGCCCACTGTGATCATCAAGATCATGACTCTTAATGCTCACCGTCATCGTCAGCAGCAGCAACAGCAACAATCATCCAAAGCCTCAGCTGTAGGCCTTATCCCCCACTCCGCGCTCCCAGCCCACGTTTAGATTATGCAATCTGGGCTTTGGAGTAGAGGGTCTAGGTTCCCGCACTCTGACCCTTTACCTCCCGAACAATCACACCTCATCACAACCGGCCTGAGCGAGTTAGGGTTTAGGGTTGAGCCTGAGACCCTGAAGAAGATCTCGATGAGACACCCACCCTCAACCCATGTATATAGTAGGCTCATGTCGCCACCTCTGTGTCGCCTGGCCCTTCGCTGCTTCTAGCAGCACGGCGGCCACACCTGCCCGGAGACTCAGAAACAAAAAAACTTAGCTAAAAGATTCTGAAGTTTTATAAGGGTTCAGATGAGCGGTGAGAGTTATCGGGTTCCTTAATTCGCGAATTCATCTCGAATTCTAGCGAGATCCTGGATATCATCGCAAGGAGTTGGAGTTTTTTTTATTGTGGGACTTGGAGTGTCTGGGTGCCACGAGGCTCCTTGGGTTTGAGGGTCGCGGGGTCTAGGATTTGAGTATTTAGGGTTTCGAGCTTTGGGATCTGAGTATTTAGCGTTTAGGATTTGAGTGTTTAGGGCTTAGGGCTTAGGGTTTGAGTATTTCTAGTCTTGGTTTGAAATAAAGAATTTTGGGTCGAAGGTGGGTAGGGCTCGTCGGGTTGAGGTCTGGGTATTGGGTATTGGGGCTCAGGGTTTGAAGGTTCGGGTTCAGGCAGTAGGGTTTGGAGCCGACTAGTTTTCTTTAGGGAAACTTGGTTTTTTCTAGAAAAGCCCAACGAAAGACTCTTTATCAGACCCGCAATAAGAGTTCTTTGCACCAGGAAAACCTCTTGTAACAACTACTCAACGTGTTAGAAACGATGTTACACTTGTAAACCCTTGATTCTTCCGTTCATTCGTGTCGCACGTCGTAACCCCCAGACTCCAAAGTACAAGAGCAAGGCTTCCCAAGCACCTTCAATGCTCCGAGTAGGGTTTTGCGGGCACCAGCCGACTCTAAACCCTAAACTCGTCGAAACGCCACAAAGCTCTAATAACAAACCCTAGACCCTAAAATCGGAAGCCTAGCGAGGAGGCGGCGTGGCGATATCGAGGCCACATAAGGCGAGCGAAGCACGAGGACCGCAAATCAGCTAAAAGCTCCTAAAATGCGTCCCTCAGTATGGAGGGCTTTAAAGGGTTGTGGCTTTAGGGCTTCTAGGGCTGAGGCTCCGGGGCCTGAAGGTCTGGATTCTAGGGCTTAGAGATTAAGGTGTGGGTTCGCGGTTTTGGGCATAAGGGTTGGTAAAAGCTGGTAAAATCCTCGAAAAACAGGCTTTCTGCGCCGCTTCTTTAGGGTTGAAGACTGGGAGTTCCAGTTCCGCAGCAAGTAACCGTTGATAATTGAAAAAGGGATCCCTGCGCCCGGCCCAGGGCTTAGGGTTTAGGGTTTGCTTTACTAGGCATTCGATCCTCTACTCTCTGGTCCGACTTTCGGGTTCTGGTGCTTCATAAATGCTCCGTAAAGACAGCTCGGCTTGGGTGTTGAACTAAGGGTCTTAGGTTTCGGTCTGGGTCGCTTCCCGGGCTGAGGCTGGCTGAGGCTGAGGGGCTGGGGCCGCGCTTTTTCGGCAGAAGGGCGGGTCCTGAGATTAGGGTTTAGGGTTTAGGGTTTAGGGCTTGCAAAGCCATGCGTGACTTCTGCTCCCTGACTTGGGCCCATGGGACAGCCGCGCAACAATTTCTCAATGGCTGGCTTGATGCCACGTCCTGACACAGTGGCGAGGCACCCTCTGAATACAAAACCCTCGAAGGTTACGCCACACCCCGAACCCTCAACCATAAACCTAGAACCCAAACCCAAAACCCTTTCATCTCTGAAGATAGATCGGACACTTCGAAACGAAGGCCTGTTGGGCACCCTGAGCTTGAGCTTCCAAAACACGTCCGAAACACTTCGAAACTCCTCATAAAGAAACCCCTGTCAAACATATATAACCAGAAGCCTCGTACCAAAACACAAGCAAAACCTGCCAAAAATCAGCAGGCTCGTGTCGAAGTGAAGTGCTCCTGAATCTCACCTTCTCCTCCCTGGTGCCTAGTAGGGAATGGGGGAATGGATCCCTATAGTAGTCCCTATCAAAACCCTCAATAATAGTCTCCGTAATCCATTCCCCCACTCCCTACTAAGAACCAGACAGGGCCTATAGATACGCTAAGACCCTTATAGAACGCTTGTAGAACCCTTATAGGACCCTTTAAAGGAACCCTTGAAGGAACCCCATTCCCTACCAAGAACCAGAACAGAAGTGCTCTGCTGGGCCTTTGTGTTTCCACCGGCAAGAAAATCTGCAGCTCCTGGGCTACTAACGGCGTCGGGCTCAGGGCTTAGCATAGGGGGCATGAATATTTAGAATAGGCAAACACTTGTTTTGGGGCTCATTCTACTATACTTATAAGCAGGACCCGCCCCCCCAAAAAAAAGTATTGGGAACTATTTAGGCCCCTTTACTAGAGTGCTTATCGGTTGGTCCTGTTGTTGCTGATGTTGCCGCCGCCCTCGTCTTGGGCCATCTTTCTCAGGACGATCAATGCTCGTTGCACTGCTTCGACAATACGTTTCTGTGTTCAGGGTAAACACATGCTGATGATGATGATGCTGATGCTGGTAGTGATGATGATGGAGGAGGACGAACATAATGCGGCATCGAAGATGATAGTGGTGACGACAACAATCCAACCACAACCACGACGACGGATGGCAGCTACGATAAGCACGACGATCAGCAGCATCGTGACTGCTACTTCGATTGCGTGCTCGCTACATCCATTGATGTGCACACTCCATTTTGGTTCCCATGGTGGGTGAGACGACCATTACTCGAACGAGAAGGAAGTTTGTTCCTGATGGCTGTGCAGGAGTCGAGCGTGGGCTACAGTGATAGGTATCTAGATACTAGTTGCCCCTCTGCTCTACTTTGGCATCTAACATCACGAGCGTCAACGGCAGCGCCTCAGCACAACTGTAACAAGCTGTGTGCTCGTGATTGGAGGATCAAAAGCTTCGGGATACTTGGGCTCAGACGCCGTCCAATAGCGCTCGCATGGCGTAAGCACACAACAGCAGCAAGAGGAGATGACGAGGCTGGTACTTGTGCTGCTTCTCCGGCTGGCGGGTCTGCCAGGTCCTTCCGCTGTAACTGCTCCTCCCCCTCCTCCTCCCTAAACCCTAAACCCTACACCGCAAACCCTGAACCCTAAACCCGAAGGCTTCGCCTCATTGTTGCTTTGATGGCTGCCACTGCTACTCTGGACCAAAACATCGCCTGCAGAAGGGCATGAGCTCTTGTACAGGAGACCAAAAATCATAATAATAGTAATCATAGTAATAAGAGTAATAGGAGTATTAAGAGCATGGTCATAATAGTAATAATGGTAATAATAGTAACACTTGTAATCATAACAATTAATAATAATGATGATGATAATAATAACAACAATAACAACAATAGTGACAATCATACTAACAATAATGATTGACTCTTGTTTATGATTTGCCGCTGTTCATGAAACCAACAATACCAATAACAATACAACTCACAGCACTACAAACAATAAAAAGAAGAACGATAACAACAATAACGACAGTAATGACAATACCAATAACAGTAATGACGATAATCATAACGGTATTGATAATAAGACGAGTAGTAATAAGTAAAAAACTTACCGACCCCACCAGTCCAGACCAAACGAAGCGGAACCAGAGAAGCTGACACGGCAAGACTAAGAAAGCATCCGATTCCTAAAACGAGTAGGGCTTGCGGGGTGTCTTTCACTATGGTGATAATTAGGACGATGCTACCTTGGAGGGATATTCTACCATGGTTACACTGAGGACTATAATACAATCTCACCAGCTGCATGCTACCGAAGAGGTCTCTCTTTTGCTCTCGAAGGCCTGGCTCGGATGCGGCGACCCAAAATCCACCATGAACCTTCCTGCCACAGACTTCAGTAAACAAGCCGCTCACTGTCCGTGGCTCCAAGGTTTCGCCTAAGCTGACAACGATGTTCAAAGCAGAACCCGCCATGGACTTGGGGGTGACACTGTCTAGACGAACTTGCATTAGACATGCAGCGTCGCCCGCCAAAAACTGCCAACAACCTGCAGAATACCACAGCCCCAGTCTTGCTCCTGAGAACCGCAAACTCAGAATCCAAATTGAACGAATGGAAGCTGCCAGTGTTGCTAATTAGTAGCACCGCCTAAAGCTCAGGTCGTGCATGAAATAGCTGCTGTGAAGGTAAGGTGTAGCAGACGTAGTAGTAGTAGTAGTAGTAGTAGTAGTAGTAGCAGCAGCAGCAGGAGTAGTGGCACTAGCTGTCGTAGTAGTAGCAGCAGTAGTAGTCGTAGCAGTAGTAATAATGGTAGTAGTAGTAGTAGTAGTAGTAGTAGTAGTAGTAGTAGTAGTAGTAGCAGTAGTAGTAGTAGTAGCAGCAGTAGTAGTCGTACAAGTAGTAATAATGGTAGTAGTAGTAGTAGTAGTAGTAGTAGTAGTAGTAGTAGTAGTAGTAGTAGTAGTAGTATCAATAGTTGTTGTAGTGGAAGAAGAGGCTGTACACGTCCGGCAGAAAGCGATGATCAACTCCCAACCCTGAATCCCGAAAGGCCGCGTGGCTGTACTTGGTGGATGGCGTGGGTGCTCCCGCCACGTGCTGAGCGCAAGTCGGGTTTCTTGTTGCCCTGACGGCAGTCCCACCCTCAACCCTATGTAAGAACCAAACCCCAAACCCTAAATGTTACTAAACCCAGAACCCCAAACTGGCTCCCCACACCTCAAGTCGGTGGGAGCACCAAGCTCTGGACTGAAAAGCCTGTATTCCCCGCGCGAATACCGACTGTTGCGAAGCCTTTGTCAAGTGTAAACTGCTTGTTGTAGGGTTTACAGGGGCTTCGTACGGTCTTTGCAGGGTTTAATTGGATGCTCGGTGATTTAGTAAGCATGGCTGGGATGGATTGTAGGGATCGTTGCTGTAACAGGGTAACAGATGCCATGTTGCAGGACCTAACCATGATATTACCGGAAGATATCTCGACATGCACACATTAGCAGGCTCGGGGCGTTTGGCGGCTTTGTGCTTGACGGAGGTGTGGCTTTGTGCTCATTCGAGGCTGTGTGTCGTAGCTTCAGGGTTGAAGCATCACAGCTTGGCTCACCTTGTGGGAACTTCTCTAAATTGGGTCCCTTGTTAGATCCGCAATATGGCACGGCACCCTTGTACAAAGGACTCTGACAAGGACCCTTATTCAGAGAACTACCCATGTCGGGTGTACGTCATGCGCAAAAGGCTTGTTGCAGTGAACTGTTGCTTGAAGTTCAGTGGGCAGTTACAGACTGGGACTGGAGCTACCACCTGAAGCACAACTGACGACTTCTAGCTGCCTTCACTATACCCCAGTTACACAGGCGGATGAACTTCCAAGTCTGAGAATGCAAACCTTAAACCCGAAATACCTAAACCCCAGGCCCTTGAACCCTCAAATGAAAAAAAAAACAAAAAACAGGAAAAATGTTCCGGCCGCCCTGGCCTGCTCACGCAGATCCTGCAGGGGAGGGGCGGAGGGGGGGTTAAGGCCATCAAGGTTTCCCTTAAGGATTCGATGGGTTATGAAGTAACTTACGTGGTAGCATACGGGCTTCTACCAAGCTCTTTAGGGAGGACAAAACTCGAGGACAACATGGTCTATGATTGAATGCATGTATTGCGGGGCCCTAAAAGGGAAAATAAATTATCGTACAACTGTCCCAAGGAGTCCCACTCAGTTGGGCCCCTAAATTAGCCGACTTCGTGGTGCATTCGCACAGGATTAGTCCGCTGCCAAATTGACAGCTTTGGTCCTTCATCTCTAAACCCTGAACTCGAGGAACCAAAACCTTAATTGTGGTGACTTTAATAGGGTATATACTACAGAGCATTGAAGCCTCTGGAGTACCGCGGTTCCTATGTTTGGCTCCGGGTTTAGGAGCCTCTGTAAGCCGGCGGCTTAAAGCGGTCAGAGGTAGCCCTCTCCCCTGCCCCTCGGCCCCCCCGCCCCCCGGCCCACGTTCGTCTTGGGC